TTGCTTTCCTAGTTCAAGATATTTTCTTCATAAGTTCTCAGTAGATTTATCAGAATATCATAATACCTTATAAGACACCCAGAATCAATCCTACAAAAAAAAACTCAAAAACAATTACATACCTACTTATAATATATTTCCAGTCGACTTAAGTCGTAGGTAAGCTAACTTTTTCTAACTCCTTTTGGACATTTTAACTAAGATTTACCCATCTATTCAAAAGACAGTTGCACCAAGCTATCAAACAGTCAAAACACAAGTATTGCGCATGGGATTATGCATTAAAGCTTAACGATACATTGACAGTGTAAAGAATGCCGTTTGATATTTATTAGATAGCTAAAGCATTACTTGACAAAATATACGTTATTTTACAGTAGATTTACCTCATTTAAATGTGTGTGTCTATTTCACAAAACCTGAAGCATTATTTTCAATATTTTATGCTTACGGTATCGTGGTTGTTTTCGCTGGTTGTCATTACATAAGCAGTAATAGAGTTCCGATTCGGGAGGAGCGAATGTTAAAAATTTTTCTCAAAGTGGAAGTTTTGACAACCAAAATCCGCCATTACCGCCATGTTTTTGACCACGAGGCCCAGGCCCCTTTGCCCCTCCAGGTCTTATAGAGCTCAATGGTCCAGGCCCCTTTGCCCCTCCAGGTCTTTTAGAGCTCAATGGGCCACTCTCGTCGGAGCCTTTGAAGATTTTGTTGTCAACTTTTAGCCCGCAATCAGGCATCGCCGCCATGTTGGCAGCAAGATAACTCCAGCAAGTTCGTAGTAGAAAATATAGTAATGAGAAACAGTTCGGCGCGTCCTCGATAATTATATGGCTATTCCATTTTTGTTTTGTGTATGCCATCACGAGCAATGTCAAAGAAGGTAATTTTGACAACTTAGGTCGAATCGCATCGTTAGAATACACGTTTTAGAGTCAAAATTTGTTATTGTGGTCTGATGCTTTTGCCAACTTGCCAACATTCAATCATGGTTATGCTTGTATTGCGAGTTACAATGAAAAGGATCATCAACTTTGTCTATGGCATTTTCCTTGTAGTAAGTTTGTAGAATGTTACAAATGCTTGACTTTAATGTACTTTCGCGATCTTTTATTAGAAGAAGAAAACTCGCGATTTGCAAATTTGATGCCGTAATAAATTCGCATTCTTAAAAAAAGTTTGACCAAATATTGCAGTGGAAACAGTGAACATGTACGGAATGGCACTGGTATCATGTTAAGACTCTTCAAGATGCTCTTTCCAACATTCAGCTTTTTGGTTGTGACTGAGATATAGTGAAATACCTAATTGACAATTACCTATTTCTTCCTTGTGAATTGCCCTTCGTTTCTGGCCAACAGCACGTGGTGGATTTGGAATATTAAATAATGTAGGCTTAGCCAGGACTTTTAATCGTGATTTTTCAAAGTTTAGAAACATACACTCTTCAAAGTGCTCTGCACACAGTTTGCAGTTATTATAGAGATAATTTGCAGTTTTATTTAACAAGTCCTGGCGTCTAGTGTTTTGAACCCATTCGTTTGATCTAAAGGCATGTGAATGTCATATAAATTTGTAAAAGTTTATCTTTACATTCAAAACTTACTACATTTACTATTTTACCTCAATGGATCTCGCGGAAAACGAAAGAAGCTTAAGTCAGGTCGAGTTCTTTTGCTGTTAATGCAGTTTACTGCTGAACAATGAGTCCTTGCTCCACCTTTTAACTTCTTTTTGTCAGCCATTAGTGCGAATAAGTAAATATCAAAGACTGACTATTATAAATGTAATTAGTTTAGCGAAAATATATTATTAGTTAACTAGTTAATGATCTTTGTAAAATGCCTTACTCATACATGCATGTGTATGATAACCACAATAACAGGAAAAGCTTACGTATAGGACGTGGTCAACGTACTGACTACAGACAACGTACAGGACGTGGTTAATCAACTGACCACAGTTTACGTCATTGTACGATCACTTATAAGTGATGAAACGAAAGCTGTAGTTATGTTGGTGCTTAGTAGAATTCCACATCAGAAGAAAGCCTCATGTAAAAGAAAACGAACTATTTACGAAAACAACCAAAGAATCCAGATATATATCCAATCCATCAACGAATGAGTCACTGAAAGCAGTTGTCTTAGATAAGTTTGAACATTTACACATTTATATTATAACGTTTATATCAAAATTATTAGTATATTAAATATCTTAAGAATTGACAACCACTTCTCCACAAGGTTTTACTCCTTTTGTTACGAGCAATTGAGCCAAAAGCGGCCATTTTATTGTTAGTCGGGACGTTCGTAGCACATGACAAATATAAGGAACATATAGTTAAGGAACATATAGTTAAGAGCATCAGGAAGTTAGCTACAATCATACAATATAGGAATTTTCCTAACACAATATGGCATTGGCATTAAATACAATTGCATAAGTTTGCAATTTCTCAATGAACATTTATCGAGTGTTCGGGATATGACTAAATTTGTCTGAATTCTAAAGCACCAAATCCAATGTCATACGAAATATCTTTTTTAGTGTAGCCCGTCCGTTGATAAATTTCACATTGTTCCTTCTTGTTTCTGATTTAAAGACGTTCGTAAAGCGCTTCTCCGCTTCCGTTCTTTACAAATAAATAAATACGAATAACCTTGACCACACGGCCACGGCACAGCATTTATCATACAGGTCTCGATAGAATTGTACACATTGGTTGTACATGAAAAAGCATAAAAAGATGTTGATTGTATGTTCCCATCTCAGCACAGCTTTCATTTGGTCGTCTCAGGATAAATATTTCAACTTTTCAAGTAATAACACCAAGATTTTTGAGTTGTACATTGCTACCCTTATTTAGTGTAGCAAGTTTATCTTGCTGCCAACATGGCGGAAGTGGCGCATGCGCATTGAAATTTAAGACCGCATTTTTCGCGAAGTGGCCCTTCTGGTTGTATCTATTCTGTGACAATGTATTATATTTACAAAAAGGTGTTAAATTACTACTAAAGGAGGCGGTGTCAAATGGATATATGATAAGCAAGTTAGGAAGTAAAATAAAGAGAAATTAAAAGAGGTTAAGTGGACTGGAGTTTCCTTGCACATTAAGTGAAGGCTTGTATTTATTGATTAGAAGGCTTTCATGAATGGAGAGTTCATAAGAATCGTTAGAAGAGGAGATTATTTTAAAGTCGTCTAAGTTGGGGTGTGTCCAGTTGCGTTAAAGTGCACATACAGCCTTTCCAAATTCGTTGAACTTTTAAAGTTTAGACTGTGGAAAATATGATTTCGAAGAAAATTTCGTAAAAAAAATAAAAACAAAGTTTTTTTGGCGGTTTGAATTAGCTTGCTTTTGAGAAATTTCCGCACCTCTTAGGGGACTTAAGACGAGAGGTTTGTGACGTCATTTAAGGAACGTATGAATGCGCTGCATACAAAACAACACAGTGTGAAATAACAATTCTTTATATATTGCTTTGAAATTAATATAAAAATTGTACGAAACATGTCGACATCCGCTTCTGAGTCGAGTACAGCAACAACAGCGGAAAATATTGAATTGAACAGTCGGGAATTCGATTTAGAAGACGAAGATCAATCGTCATCAAATGCGCTCCGAGAAACACCGATGGCGATTTTGAGTACGGCCAAGCTGCAGCATATGGAAACGAAACACTTGCTGATGATGAGTGGTTAGAAAACTATAATAGAGAGACAGAAGAACAAAGACGCCAAACAGAAGAGCTCGAACGCAGAATGCAGAATGAAGTTCCTCTTGATTCTTGGTAAGAAAAGTTGGAAAATTTGTTTATTTATTGTTGCCGAAGCTTTTGACAGATAACTTTCTTAGGTGCAATTGTGGTAACTGCCGTGCTCCTCTCTTGGTTAATCCAAAAGAATGTAGATGTTGCCACGAAATTATCAATTGCATGATTGAAATGCAAGATCATTCGGTGGTATCCGAATTAGGAAGGCAGCCAAAATGCATCACAGAGCATCCAAGATTTAATGCCATTTGCCTCAATCGATGGGTATTAAATTTAGCTGCCAATCTTTACCAAAGACGAGATGGGGTTAGATATCGTAAAGGATTCTTGGAGCAAAGGTTTGTTACAATTAATAGTTAATGCTTCTGTCTGGGTTATCTATGAATGCACACTTGCAAAATTTGTATTTTATGGACTCCTACCTCTTTTAATGGACCTTGTGTATTATGCCTTTTCAGGTTTTTTCGAGTTGTTGCATATAGGCAATTTACAAGAATGGTACATGGCATTCTTCGAGACAAAAGAATTCCACTTTCAGCTTGTGCTTACCATGTTATTCAAACAACTTTTAATTTAAAAAAAAAAATGAACACTTTGCAGGGTATGAAGAGGACAATTTGTAAAATAACATAACATTATATATTATTTTAGGTGTTGTGTGCATGAGCCCAGCTAGTAGGGATCCAGTGAAGTGTGGAATGATATTAGCCACTCTTGATGTATTGCATCTTTGATTCACACTTTTTCTTGTTATACAAAATGTACAAAATTACAATTCCTTTTCTTTTTATTCTTTCCATGCAGTCATTTCACACTTCACTGAATCCCAACTAACTGGGCTCATACCACCAGCTTCTAAAAAAGTGGTTACTTTTGGTTTTTTGGACAGTTAACTACATTTTTATGGCCTTTCATCCAATTCTTGCACACAATGCATCGAGGTGCTGCCCTCTCATTTCTCTGATCAGTGATTTTTTCTTGGACAGGTGATACTTCAGCTATATCAAACAATAAAATGAGTCAGTTCAAAAAATAAGATTCAAATTCACTCAAAGCAAGTAATGCCTTTTTGTTAAGCCTGGCTTAGTTGGGGGAAAATGTACAGCTGGCATGCTTTGTCTTCTTGCTTTTTTTGAGATAGCTTCACTTCTTCACTTGCTTGTCCAACATGGAATTCATTGGCAATGGAGTCATTTGTAAAAGATCACCTTTGGCTTTTCTCTATGTTTCCTCATCAATGAGTGCAGAGCACAACACTTGATATATATCTTCAACATACCCTGGAGGAGCAATGTGCAAATTATTCAAAATTTTATTTTATGGTAATCATTTCTTATTAAGGCTTTCATTATTATGGCATTTAACACATGATATCAGGCAGTAGGAGAAATATATTAAATTACCTTACCAAAATCCTGAGCAACTTTTACATTTCTTACAACAGCTTCACCATTTATAAATTTTGGATAATGCACTTTAACCTGGGGAACTCCATTAACCTCTTGATTATCCCCATCCAAATTGCTTTCGAAATGAGTTACAACAAGGATATGCCTTCATGAAATATAAAATTGCATTTAATTTCTTGAAAGAGTTTAAACATCTGATGCGCGATATATTTTTTGCTACTTTGGCTAGCAATATTGTGATACATCACACAACATCACACTATCACACATTGTGATGTAGTGTGATGGATTGTGGTGCAATGTGATGCATTGTGATGTAGTGTGATGCAATGTGATGTAGTGTGATGCATTGTGATGCATTGTGATGCATTGTAATACATTGTGATGTCGTGTGATACATTGTGATGCATTGTGATGTAGTGTGATGCATTGTGATCAGTGTCTGGCATTTATTAATATGTACTGTGATGCATTGTGATAAAAAACGATGACGAACGCTGTAGTGTGACGTTACGTAATGCATCACAAACTTTTATACTGTTTAGCCAAAAAATATATCGTGCATGGTATAGCGGACATTACGTCATTCGAGTGTGATAGTGTGATGTTGTGTGATGTATCACAATATTGCTAGCCAAAGTAGCAAAAAATATATCGCGCATCAGATGCATCACACTACATCACAATGCATCACAATGCATGACAATGCATCACACTACATCACAATGCATCACAATCCATCACACTACATCACAATGCATCACAATGCATCACAATGTATCACACTACATCACAATGTATGACAATCCATCACACTACATCACAATGCATCACAATCCATCACAATGTATCACACTACATCACAATGTATCATAATCCATCACACTACATGACAATGCATCACAATCCATCACACTACATCACAATGCATCACAATGCATCACAATTTATCACACTACATCACAATGTATCGTAATCCATCACACTACATCACACTACATCACAATGCATCACACTACATCACAATGTATCACACTACATCACAATGCATCACAATGTACCAAAATGTATCACAATCCATCACAATGCATCACAATGCATCACACTACATCACAATGTATCACAATGCATCACAATGTATCACAATCCATCACACTACATCACAATGCATCACAATCCATCATACTACATCACAATGCATCACAATGCATCACAATTCATCACACTACATCACAATGTATCACAATCCATCACACTACATCACACTACATCACAATGTATCACACTACATCACAATGCATCACAATGTATCAAAATGTATCACAATCCATCACAATGCATAACAATGCATCACACTACATCACAATGTATCACAATGCATCACAATGCATCACACTACATCACAATGCATCACAATGCATCACAATGCATCACACTACATCACAATGCATCACAATCCATCACACTACATCACAATCCATCACAATGCCTCACAATCCATCACAATGCCTCACAATGCATCACACTACATCACAATCCATCACACTACATCACAATCCATCACAATGCCTCACAATGCATCACACTACATCACAATGTATCGCAATGCATCACAATGCATCACCAGTGGCGTAGCTAGCGGTCCCGCTACTCCCGCCCGGCGGGAGTAGAAATTTCCCAAAAAAATAATAAATATTCTATTTGGACATAAGATATACATTATTTCACGAACAATTTGTAATATTATGTTTTATTCGTTCATATTTACGCTTTTATTAGGTGGTTCGTAATCGTAATACAGCAAAATCTCAAGATTTGTTATGTAACCTAGCAACTGCCTTTTCTCGCACATTGCATACTCGCGCGATTCTCCACGTATTCCGCCCATCTTCAGAGGGCGGAACATACAATATAATTCTATATAAGAAGTTTTGAATTCTGGTTGGTTAAGGGACTTGACGCATGCTCAAATCTGCTGTTTTTATAGTCGAACTCCCGCTATTTTAAATTGGCGGAGGTTGTAATTATTCGACCTTTTAATACGAGTACAGCGAGTCACAATGAGTCCGAAGGTAGCTTGAACAAAGGTAATTATAGAGAGTTGCTCGAATGTTTTGCTAAGTTTGATTCTGTATTTGAGCGTCGACTGCACAGTAGACTAGCAGAATCTGATATAGTTGGTGACAGAAGATTTACTGGAGTCTCCCCAGAAATTCAAAATGGTCTTATCAGCTGTCTTGATTCAATTATTGAAGATGAAATCAGAAAGGAAATAAATGATTGCACATTTATGAGTATTCAGGTTGATGAAGCATCTGATGTCTCCACCAAAGAGCAGCTAAGTGTTATTGCTTGGTTTGACAAAGCAAGTGAAATTATGGAGAGGCAATTAGGATTTGTGGATGTAAGTATGAACAGAAATGCCACAGCAATATCACAAGTTGTCAAAGATAAACTTGGTGAGTATTCCAATATAAAAGAAAAACTGGTTTTACAAACATATGATGGTGCTTCTGTCATGTCTGGCCATATCAATGGTGTTCAAGCATTGGTTCGACAAGAGTATCCTTTTGCTCATTTTTTTCATTGTGCAGCTCATAGATTAAACCTGGTCCTATGCCAGTCAGCCTCATCAATTTCTCCTGTTAAAATCTTTTTTATTAATATAGCTACATTCAGCACATTTACAAGCAATGCCCCAAAAAGAAAAGCTTTTCTCACATCTAACAACCTTGAGTTTCCTGCCCTGGTGAAACAAGATGGTATTATCGCTCTAGATTAATCAATGTATTGCACAAAACTATGAAAAACTTTTAGATATTTTTGAGGGGTACTTGAACAACCAGCTGGGTGGGATGATGAGTCATTAAGTAAAATAAGTGGCTTACTGCATTATCTTGATAGCTTTCTCTTTTGTTTTCTAGTGTGTGTTTTTTACAGGATTTTAGAACAGTCCACAATTTTATATTCCATTCTTCAAAATAGGGAAACCCATTTTAACTATGGCATAAGCAAGATTGACAATTTCAAGCAGTTTATTGTGTCACTTCGCACAGATCAAGCTTTCACCGAGTTTTACCAAACTGCACTAGAAAAAGTAGGCCCACCAGCAACTAGAGCAGATAGTAGATACAATTACAAACAGCTATATTTTGAGATCATTGATTCCATTAAAGGCATGTTAAGTGAACGATTTCAAGATATTAATCAGTTCGAGTTTTTAGACCTTGTAAATCCTAAACTATTTACTACATGGAGGGGCATAGTTCCACAGGAGAAGATCAATCTTCTCAAAGATAAGTATAGTCCTCTTTTTGACATCCAAACTTTGAAGAGTCAACTTTCCTTCATTTACAACGACAAGGACTTTCACAAAGAGTGCAGTAATGAGGTTCTTAAATACATCTTCAAATTTAATCTCCAGTCGAGTTTAGGTCAAGTGGTAAATTTGTTAAAATTGAATGGTGTGTTGGCAGTGGTAAGTGCTTCAGTAGAGAGGTCGTTTTCTTGCTTAAAAGGGTAAAAGCTATTTAAGAAATAGAATGGGTCAAGGTCGGCTTAGCTCTTTGTGTAGAATATCTATTCACAAAGATATCATTGAAAAGAAAGAGGAATCAGAGGTGTTGCATAACGAGGTGGTTGAAAAATTTGTAGAAAACCCAGGAGGCTGGCCTTTCTTTATAAATGATGAGTATAGTATGTGTTTTGATATTTGTTCGTATAATACATGGTACTTCATTGAGAAAATTAAGCATAACTTTAAAGAATAAAGCCATCCCTGTCTACTTGCCCCAATCTAAACAAGTTTAAACTAACAAGTAGAATGCTAAGAAAAATCTCTCTCTATGCACTTTAGAAGTGTCGTATACTATATTATTTTTGTGCTAATACAAATTTCTTCTGTTTATGCAGGGGCAGTGATGAGTAAATTATGTTTTAGGGACAATTGTCTCCTGCGTAACGTTTCTCTGAGCCACCTTTAGTACCTTTTTAACTAGTTGCAGTTTCAACGACTGCCACATTAAGAATGCAGCTAACAAAAATGGGTTTTTATAAATTATTGTACAACAAATAATTCGCCTTCGAAATCGCAGGAAATGCTGTTTCCAAGGCTCTAGATTTCAAAATTTTCCGGGGAGCATGCCCCCGGACCCCCCTAGTGGGGTCGCGCCTCCGGCGCGAGATGGATTGGCGGGAGTGACTATTTTTCCTAGCTACGCCACTGTGCATCACAATGCATCACAATGCATCACACTACATTACAATGCATCACAATGTATCACAATGTATCACAATCCATCACACTACATCACAATGTATCACAATCCATCACAATCCATCACACTACATCACAATGTATCACAATCCATCACAATGTATCATACTAGATCAAAATACATCACAATTTATCACAATGTATAACAACGCATCATCTTTATTATTGCAATGTATAACAACATTACAATGTATCGCATTACATCACAATGGACTGTAATAGCGCATCACATGAGAATACAATATTGTGACTGATCACAGAACCACACTCGAATGTCGTTATGTCTTGTCATGGAATAAGCATTGCGATAAATTCATAAAATAATTGACATATTTATTATCAGAAATCATAAAGATGGGAAACTACAGTCTCCTGCCTTTCTTCAACAAGATGAAATGTTCATGCTCTCTTATGTCAAAAGCTTTATATTAACTTTTGACATTGGAAATTGCTAGAACACGTCTGATTAACTCAGAAATTTTCAATGATTTTGGACCATTGTCGAGGTATTACAGTCCAGTCGTTAGAATTGATTACTTTTTAATTAAAAATTTCGTAAAATTTAAAAGAAACTCACTAAACTATATTTCAGTGTTCGTCAAAAGTTCACTAATCTATAAACTTAATTTACGATCTGGCAACTGAACACCAATTGTCAACACTGCCTTCCCAAAATGAAACCCCACATAGATCAATGGAAACACAATGGCTTTGACTGCTTGAACCATTGGCTCGAATAGACTTTTGTCGGGCTTACTAGATTCAAGAAAATACTGCGTGCTATAAAACAAATACACTGTTAGATGCTACAAGTGTGGTAAAAAACCCTTTTACCCCTCATTCATATGACAGAAAGCTAAAATCATTTACTTTTGAGTTAACGCATATTTCTTAACAATCGAATATTAGTCGTTTTTAACATTTTGAGTTTTGTGGTTAATTCTATTTTCATTACTTTAAAGTTTTGTTTTATCACTTGACATCGCGTTTCGATTAACCTGTTTTGAATATGCAGTATGTTCGTTTGAAATCCTCCCCCCCCCCTTCAAGTAAGGTATCGTCGATTAATCGAGTTGTCTCATCTTAATTGGGTTTTGAGGTGTAGTCTGTTGTGTTGAAGTGCATTCCTTTGAACAACTTCATCACAATTCTTAGTTTTTTCACCAATTTATATTAAATAGAAACACACATCATTAGTATTCCAAAATGAAGTTTTATTAAACGTTCAATTAAATTATGTACATATATGCCAGTTACTGATCACTTGCTGTTAGTTACTCGGCAGCTGAGACAGAACCTTAAAAAGAAATCACATTCAATCCATCAGTTTGAATACTGTCTTTCACTATACGTAACTAATGTCTAATTCTGTTACCAAGGATCGGTGTCTGGTACAACTTTAAGTTTCAAACAGACCATGTGGTAATAATTGTTTCCTGGACACTAAAATTAAAAGAATACTATACATGGTACATCTACTAAACAACTCCAATATTTTATCTTTAAACGCTTTGTATTTTTTATTGATATAAGGCCTGGCTTTACAAAAGGAGCAGGAGGCGAATCAATTAATGAAACGATAAAAAATATTGGACCTTTCTTGCTTTTCTTTTTCTGTTTTCGCAAACAATCATTTCGTCTTCTTTGTCCTTTGACCTTTCCTAACGAAATGTGAAAAGTATGATAGTATATTATGATCAAAAGTACACGTTTATTCTTAAAAAACGAATCATAATTTTTCAAACCTTTTTGCAATAGCAATACTTGTATTTGGCTGCAAAGAAAAAAAAACAATTGTTTAGAGATATGCTTGTTGTTTTCTTAGAGAACTTCTGCCTTGTTATCATATTTCATATAATGAATGATGAAGGCAAACTGTCACATATTTTGTTTTGCTAGCCAATTAGGTAATCTCATGGCAGGATAACTCATTTATACGGTGAGAAGTTATATTTTTCATAACCATTTTATTCTCAACACGTTACACAAAACACAATACTTTTTAATTATATACCTTTGTTCTTAAACTTTTTTGTTTCAAACATGTCTCGTTCGCTCCCTATTTGCTTGCATCTCTTCTTCTTTGATGCACTAACTGTGTTTAAAACATCCATTCTGTCCACTTCTCCCAGCTCCACTAATACAAACAAAAACAAACAAACAACATTTGTATACCGGCCAGTATTAATCCCCGCCAGGGGGGTTGACCGGTCCATGAATTTTTCCACGCCAAACGTCTCTATCTCTCGCCATATCTCTGGTTATACCCATCGCCTTCATATCACTGTTCACAGCATCCATCCATCTCTTTCTCGGTCGACCTCGTTTGCGGACTCCATCAACATTCATATGCAACGTTCTACGAATTTCAGCACTTTACTATTAGCTCCACTAATACGACAGTATAAAAACAAAATGTTAGTATGATAAAAATTTTTAGACATGAGACAAATAGAAGAATCTTTAGCATAAGATTCATCAGTGTATTTACCTTCCAGATTAATACCACTATCATCTAAATTTGTTGATTCAGCACCATATGTTGATTGTGTGTAAGGTCCGTCAGGTGTTGTGCCACCATGCTCAAAGGGTGAGTTTTGCGTGGTGTTTGCATTTACGTCACGTGATGTGTTTGTTTTTCCATTTTCATTGTCGGATGTAGACGGTGTGTTTGATTCGTATCTTCTGGTTCTAGATGCTGACGGTCTGCTGCGTTGACAAATTTCCATTTCAGACGTAGACGCTGTGTTTGAATCATTTATGCTGGTTTCGGCGGTGGATCCCAAGCTGTCTATTGCCATATTTGTATCTAAGATGTTGAAGGCTAAAAAATAATGACTATTATTATTTGGATTTTCAATAACAATCACACGTTTAGTCAATATGCACTTGAGATTTCTTTTCCAATAGCATCTGCTCTTAAATAAAATTTTAAAGAAACTGATAATGATAATACTTTGAAACTAACATAACATGACTAAAGAATAGCCAGTCTATTCCATTTGTAATCCTTTCGCACTTGCTTCCATCTGTATAAAATTAGTTGTTAAAAATGCTAACCTTCCGAAAAAACAATCCAATTCTCACTTCCAAATGCAGATTGTTTTATAATTACGCAGTTTCTGGAAGCAGTTTCTACTCCATCTGAGCCTCTGCTGATCTTTTCACCATTTGCATTTGCATTGAAATACTGGCTTCGCCCATTGACCACCCCAATGTCGAGAGACTTCATTTCTTGTCTCACTCTTCATTCGGAAACAAAATACCGTGATCTTTTAGCAAGGCAAAAATCCATTTCAGTGCCACTGCTACTCCATTTAGTCTTACTCCACTTGAGCTTGACTTAAATGTCACTTTTGGATTCACGCAAGTGAGTAACTGGAAATGAGAAATGTCACAATTACTTTATGAATTTGGTCTATGGGCTATGAATTTATTACAAACGTTTTTGCAAGATATTTTGTGCTCTATTGACTTCATTATTAAGTCCACAATAATTGGCTGTTCTGTTTGAAGCATTGCATGAGACACTTGCGCTTGGTTGGTCTGGAATCGCTTCATCCACACTGGCAGGTTTGTTTGTTTGAAAAAAGCGATGGCATTGCTTGCATAGAGATCATCAATACTTGCCAGCCGTATTACCTATGTTATAGTTGTGCAAGTAGTTATTGGCTATTGCTCAATTTTTTCATGTTATGTGGTTAATAAGGCAGTTACCTTCTCAGCAAATGCTACCAAAAGTGCATGATTTCTTAAACAGCGGTCATCGATGTTCGGTGCTTCAATGGTAAATTGTTGACAGAGCTCATTAGTTCTAGTTATGCAGAGGTATTCGACAGATCTGCTGATTGCCACCATGGTCCCAAAAGCACTAGACCCTCTTTCCATTATTGCATTGTTTTGGAATTCTGCGTTCCGTTGATTCTCGATTCCGAGAGGGCTTCTTGCTCCTTCTTGAAAGGGAATTAGGACAAGCCTTCCAAGTACTCTACAGCACGTGAAAAATTACATTAGTGCAATAAAAAGCAAACTTCTTCCATAAATACGGAAAAATCTACCTGGGGTCATTGTTTAATCCCTATAAAGTGTCCCAATTGACTGTGAACATCGGAATCGTTCGAGGAGCTGCTTCGAAAACACATTTCCCGTCTTTGCCAATGTTGTAGAAAGAGACCGCAACATTTTCAATAACTGTGGGGCTCTTAACGTCGTCGAGCACGGGAGGCAAAGTTGACAACTCGCCATCTCTCCACACGCATCAAAGAACACACACATTCCGACAAAAACTCACATATTTATAAACACCTTCACACTTCACCACATTGCAAATCAAAATACAACCATTCATGTTTTCGCATCTTAGACACCGCCAACTCGCCTTTTTCTCTTAAACTGAAAGAAGCGCTATAAATTCAAAAAACTCGAACCAGACCTCAACAAACAAATCTACCACATTAATACAATATTTAACCTGTAATATAATATCTAACACTAATTTTGTAATTTACTACACTTAACGATAGTCACATACACATATATATATATCATGTAAATAGCATAATCACCTTCAGTCGATGTGCTGAATATGGCATAAGCATGCCGAAACATGTTTACGATTAAAAAACTCGTCGTCCATTTAAAATGTCTGATATCCATCGTGCTTTTAAGAAATTATGGCATAAAATGTTCATGTCATTTATAGCTGGTGCATGTTTTTCGTCAACATGTGACACTTTTGCACTATGACCAATATAAAGGAAATTCAAATGGTACTTCACTTGATGGACGTTTAACACTCTCAGTGTAAAAGCATAAAAATACTTTCAGTGTTTTATTTGTGCACTTCAGATTTTGAAACAATTCCTACTTACACTCATCTATTTGTTCAACATTTACCCTCAGAGATTTCGTCTAATTTAAAAGAATGCTTTTTTATGCATGATATACTTATCAATTTGACTAGTTAAGCAATCAACATTAATGCTTCATATTCCTGCATTGATTTGCAAACATCTTTTTTGTACATTATCATAGTGCTAGCTTGGGTTTTAGCTAATATCAAAAATTTGATCAAAAGAAAATATTCATGTTAGAGCTTGTGTATGTTTTTGAAAGATATGTTCAAATTATGTGTAATATGACCAATATAAAAGAAATTTAATTCAGTCTGCCAATAATTTTGATTTTTCCTGTCAATTAAAAGAGAAAAGTATTCAGTATGTAATTCACTCTAAATAAGAAAGATTGCATCACAGTTTAAAATAAGCTATAAAGTTTTGTAAATTGCAGAAGTATATCAATTTGAGTTAAGGCACCATTGACATGTAGAAGGTATTCTTTCAATTTTTTAATGTCCAGGAAACAGTTATTACTACATGGTCTCTTGATTCTGTTTGAAACTTAAACCTGTACCAGACACCTATTAATTAGACATTAGTTACATATAGTAATAGTTAAGGTTCTGTAGAAGTTTCGGAGGAACTAACAGCAAGTGATCACTAACTGGCATATATGTACATATTTTAATTGAACGTTTAATAAAACTTGATTTTTTAATACTAATGTTGTATGTTTTTATTCAATATAACTTGTTGAAAAAACTAGGAATTGTGATGAAATTGTTCAAAGGAATGCTTGATTATTTTTAGAGATGAGACAATTCGATTAATCGATGATACCTAGCGGGGGGGAATGGGGGTGTGGGTGATTTTCGAATGAACATTAATAGTCAAAACAGGTTAATCGAAATGCAATAAAATGATAAAATAAAACATAACTTAACATAAAAATAAAATAAGAATAAAGTGATAAAATAATATTTTAAAGAAATGAAGTTTGAATGAACCACGCAATTCAATACTAGTAAAAATGACTATTATTCGTTTGTTGTAGATAATCGACCATGCATATATAATTGCTCATCTCCAATTACAGATGCGTAAATAAAAAGGGAATGAATTAGCTTTCCGTCTTACGAACGACTGGTAAAAGAGGTTTTTTACCAGTCTTATAGCATCTAACAGTATATTTGTTTCTGTGCTTTACCATTCTATGTAAATAAAACAAATGATGCACTTTGGGCATAGCACACAGAATCTTCTTAAACCTGGAAAGCCAGACGAAAGTCTGTTCAGCAGCCATTGTATTTCCATTTGGGATTTCAGTTTTTAAAGGCAAAGGATTGTATTTCTCCAGGCATTTCTCGTCTTTGTGATTTTTGATATGAAGGCTATCAATTATTTTACGAATTGACAGCCATGCTTTATCCCATGGTTGAGACCATGGCAAAACCTTTTTTCGCTGCTTGTAAGCCATCTAGGTGGCACATGTTGTCATATGAAAAAAAAACGGAACTCGAATTCATTGGGTTGATTTCCTTTAACATAATGCGCAGCCAAGAAAGAGTTATCAAAAACACTTGAGAAGGGCTTTCAGATCTGAAAAAAATTAATTGTTATGTAAATGTATAATAAATACAAAGTTTTTCTGAAGATGCGCTTTTGTCAAGCATTCTCTGTGCTTACCTATAAAGAGGACTCCATTTATCGATTATTCCTCCTCCTCTAACTATAAACAAATGCCCTCTTGACCACTTTTGAAGTCTTTGTTTTCCCCCAGTTTCCTTATTGCATTTTGTTTTTGTTGGTTCAACACAATCTCTTAAAATAGCTTTAATTGCATCTGGCTCATTATTAACGAACTCAGCATTGCCTATATGGTACAAATTAGCGTTAGCACTAGTTATCAATTGTGTTTAGAAACGACAAACAATACACAGCTTTGTTGTTCCATGCATTGTTCAAAAAGAATAAAACACCTACACAAGGCTTTCTAAGTTCTAACCGACAAGAAATTTGTCAAGAGATTTGGTTTTCATTTACAAAAGAATGACTTTGAGGCTTGAGACATTTGACGCTACACTTTTATAAACATTGAAAGTGCGAGAAGGCAAAGAAAAAGCACGCAAAATCAAAATAATCCAAAGTAACAATTTCCCCACCATCACGCGTGCATGTATAACTATAATCCAAATGCTGTCATAAAAAGTTATTTTTCTATCTTAAAAAAATAATAAGTTATTAATTATCGGTACCAATGTATTGAAATTTCATCATATATATAATATGGATGAGGTTAAAAAAATTCAAATTCATGCCGTCATTCACAAACCTGCTTTATAACACACTGTCATTAACGACCACTTTTACGTTAGTAGGAAAACTTAGGTTTCACATATATATATTACTATATTAGCTACAATGTAAAATTGTTTTTCATATTGCGAAGTAAAGAAATTTTAGACAAATATACCTTGTGACTCCACAACACTATTTCCTACTGGAAAAGTGTCGTCATCTTTATCAAGCTTTCCCAGTGTTTCGTCCATTTTTGACACGTCATTGTTAGAAAGCAGACCTGTGTCGTCAATCAATTCTTCACCTATAAAATGGAGTAATTCTTTGTAGTAATTTTCTGTCAGCTCTGTAATACACATATCATTGAGATAAATTTAGAGAAAGGGGTACCAATTTCCCTGCAAAATACTATATACCAAAGCAAGAGCAGTTGTGATTAAGTGTAAAAGCTCTGTTAATATATCTCGAATTGATCATAAAAAATCGGACTTTATTCTCAAGCATGACAATTTTGGAGTACATACCTATGTTACTTGGCTTCACACCACAATATCTTAAAAATCCACGCACACTAGTGGGTACATTAGGGAAGTTTTTTTCCAAATATTGCACATGCTGTTCGCAGAATGCCTTTCCATGCTGAGGCGACTCAGTGCATACATTGGGATAGTTCAGCAATGGAATACCTTTTACAAAATTCTGAAAACAATTTCATATAATATTATTAAGTTACGAAAAGCAAAGGAGTAATGTTATATCAAACTAAGATAAGTACCTTTCTACGCATCATGCAATGAGGAAACATTAATTTCCATATTCCATCGGCAACCCATAGCCTTCCACATCCTATAAGTTTGATTACGAAAATATCTTAGCCTGATGAGAATCACAGCTATTTTCCAATAGAATACATTTATAGCTTTTAAATTAATTTTAAAATACAATTGCATCTAACTTACCACGCTCTTTGCAAGAATCAGAACAATCGTCTGATGTATGCTCGTACAAACTTCTCGCCCTAATTTTGTCTATTTGTTCTAGAACCCTAGAAGAGTCCCCATCTTCTTTAAGCAAACCAAATAAGTCCAGTTGCCCCAATTCCCTCCACTCATTCTCCATCTCCCCGACCCAAAATGAAGCAGCAACTTGTTTCTCTCCAAAATCTTTATATAAAACGCAAATAATGCTTACCATCAAAAACTGTAACAACGTGATAACACTAATACAGATCTACAACATATCGTTCTCTTACTGCCATTGTATACTTCATTAAACGCTTCAGAAAAACCGTTAAATGATACCCACGAATGACAACTATAGAAAACATGTTTCATTTGTAAAATCTACTTGCTATTTTAACATTCATTAATCAAGTGATTATATTGTAACTTACGCGAGTGACAGCTGCCACTGAAGCAAAGTTGAATCAACAAAACAGACATCCGTAGCCTCGATCATTTTTCTTTGTTCGGGATATAACATCCAGCCATCTTTCCCATTACCGTACTTGGAATATCCATAAAGCAAATTACAGCGATTGCATCTAAGCGAAACTTTCACTCCATCGGTAGTTCCAGAAAGATCGTGTACCTGAACTTTTACTGGCTTATTGTAGCTCACAAGATCATGGTTGCACTTAATACATTTGGAGCATGGAGGTGTAAATACATGCAACTTCATATCGGTTGTACTAGGAACTTTTAATTTAGAAGCGGACTGTAAAAGAACATTTCCATCTTCTTCTTCTAAATTGGGACATACCAAAGCCAACACTTCTTTATGTACATTCACGGGGAGTACAAGCAAGGAAGACGCAACATTGGCAATAGAGCACACAAGTGACAACCCATATTTCAAAACAAGAACAAACAGAATTACATCAACATTTAGATCATTGCAGACTTTCAAATTAATAGATTGGATATCACTTAATATCCTCGACCCCACATATTCTTGATGTAGTTCCTCGTTGACATCTTTTCGCAAATCGTCAACCGATTGACAATTGTTACGCCTGCGCTTCGACATATTTTCAGCTTTTCCTACTCAGAAATGATTTCGGCTTTCCCCAGTGATCCAGTGAGAAATGACCTTTGGCTTTTCCCAATCAGAAGTCATGGGAAATACTATTATTATGCATATTATGCAATCTCGATTGCAATTGGCTAAGAACCTACCTACACTGCTATAGGTGACATATCATATATTTGTTCATGAAAAATTGAAAATAATAAAGTATAATGACAGACTCTTGCTCGATATTTGCAAGCGTTTTGCAAACTTTTTTCGCTCGAATTATTGAGTATTAAGACGTAAAAATAAACGGAATGGGTTAAATTGTCAGTGAGGAGAGTTTTCCTCGAATATTTTCGGGAGAAAGATGAATGCGACACTGCGGACATTACGTCATTCGAGTGTGATAGTGTGATGTTGTGTGATGTATCACAATATTGCTAGCCAAAGTAGCAAAAAATATATCGCGCATCAGATGCAGAGACAAGTCCATTGGTGAATATATATTCTTTAGAAAGTCAAAACCAATAGTGCTTTTCTAATTTAAAATTAAGCAGCTTCAATTTATTTTGCTTGCTGCTGCTCGCTGTGACTACCCCTAGATCCGCTACTGTTTTGCAGCACAAACGATTGATGCCGGAGTTTGCCGGAGAAGAAAAAAATCTGGCTCTAGAAGGCAAAAATAGCCGGAGCTCCGGCCTACCTCCGGTGCACAGCACTAGCTGGCAGGTAGATTTATCACAAGACAGGTTGACAATAGTTTGCTGGTGTTGTCTAAAAGCACTCCCTTGACCAAGTCTTCATGCCAGCAAAACGTAAACAAGGCAAGTCATCAATCTATTAAACGCTTGGAAATGCATTATAAATGAGGAGGGAAGGAAAAAACTCAAATGGAAGTTTTTTATCAAAATTTCCTTGTAGCATCCACGTTTTTTTTGACAACATGTTCCAGACCCTTTTCCGCAACCGGTAATTTAATAGAACTCAAAGGGCCCGTCTCATATGAACAGGCCTTAAAAGGTAGAAAAAAGAAGTGATCTCTTCATTTATCTCCCTCTTTAGTAAATTAATAAATCACCAGGAAGTTGATAAAATCATCTAAATGAATTTATAACAAACTAATTAAGCTCTATTCATTGATACCAGCGTTAATAAATTTGAGTTTACTAATGTAAAAAATCTTTTTAAATTCAAGCAAGTGTTGAGTATAATAGTATTCATTGGCAATTTTTCTAAAAATTTATGTCCCCCCCCTCCTCGTATAAGCCTCATCCTCAAATTATCTCCCACTTTATGGGAAGTAAAAAAATCCAGGGAGCTAAATAGAGGAAAAACGGTATGAATAAATGTGCAATAACTTACCTGGCTGCTTCACCATGCATTAAATCAAAAGTAGATTCGTGATCGCGATTTTTTAGAGCCCTTATCTCAGCTTTGAGCTCGCTGCTCTGTCTGGCAAACATACCTACGTCTTTTTCCAAAGCACGTATCTTTTTCACGGCGATGTCAAGATGCATCGTCTTTTCTCTATCGGCGTTCAGCAACTCCAACTCCCTTTCTTGAAACGATTTGTTAGTTTTCTCGAGCTCTCCGATTGCACGGCGATTACGTTCCACATCGCTTTCCAAAGCGTTGATTTTCGCGCGCAGTATTTCAATCTCACTGGTTTTATCTACAGCGACGATCGTAGTTGCAGGATTGCCGTCTGTGTTATCAAGCGAAGTCTTAAGTTCTTCGTGTTCATCTTGTAGATCACGGAACTCAAACTTTATATCTTGTAATTCGTCTAAAAATTAGTCACATCATTAACAGAGTTTATCGCCCGCATAACAAATGAACGAGTTTCGTGAAAGCCTTTCATGAAGTTCATTTAATCTCGTTTATAAGTCTTCGTTTGAAACATGCGTAACATCTAGTGATGGAGCTAGTGTAAGTTACATTAAATTATAGTTGGTCAATTTTGAATTGGACAAACCTTCTGAACAAAACAAATGGTTATGAGTTTTTAAAGATTATGAATAAAAACAATAAAACGCGTGCGGCGATTGGTCTATAGCTGTGTTTACACTTTTCATTAGCCTGTGCAAACCGATTTGAGCTCAACCATCAAATCAATCAAGCAAAGAGAATTTCCAAATAGACCATGAATACATGTTAGACGAAATATTAAACATTTCTTTTAAATATTTTAATCTTGCATTATTGCTATTTCATAAAAGACACGAAAGAAAATTTTCGTGTTTGCACTGGCTTATGCTAACCTCGGAGACATTGTGAGAACTCTCGAGTAGGTGCAACCTTGCGCTGATCTGCTCTGGTGTTCTCCCAAAGGTCGCCTCGGTTTGAATGAGCCTGTGCAAACCTAGTAAACACATTTTATTTCTTAAATAAAATTTTACAAATTAAACAGCCTCTAACGTATTTGGAAATGGAAATACATTGTAATTTATTTCGAAAACTGGCAACACCAATATTTTTATGAGTTTCTCGTTGCATCATTTGTACCATCAGTAAAAGGAAACGAAAAACCCTTGTGAACGAAATAATTATTGCACCGCAAGTAGCAAAATTTCAAAACACGTGTATCTATGTCTGAACAGACAATGTTTAAGTGTAATCTATTTGTTTTACGCAAAATCGAAGGAATTCAGGCAAACAGTTGTATTTGTTTCTTTCTTTCGACGTTGGCAAACCGTTTTTTTCATTTTCTTTTTGTTCAAATACGTCAACCGCCTCAAGTATGTTTATTTTCAAGAACTTCATTTGTCCAGGGATAAATTCTCGTATAATTATTCGTATAATAATATACTTTGAGATATTTCTCGACTGTGATTGGATGATGGCAGTGCAGTTTATCTGCAATAGCACTGTTAAAATTTGTAATTGCACTGCTGAAAATCTCTAATTGCACTGTGAGTACTGTTTCCTGTTTGGCTGAAGAGCTGTGAAAGCCAAACATACTTCTTTTTGATTAAAAAGACATGGTGCAAATTGTAAGTAAACAAGGCTTTCCACATTGCAATCGTTTGAAATTCAAGAATTGCAAAAGAATGCAAAGAATAAAAACAAAACAGCAAGTACTGTTTTTTTTGGTGAACATTCCGTGCCTCTTTAGTAGATAAAATAAAATTAATGCTTAAACTCTTGACGTTGTCCTCTACAATATGCTGAAACACAATATGTTTTTGGATTATACCTTCGCATTCTCTTAAACACATATTTAGTTTGTAATTTTCTTTCTTCAGTTTGGAAATTATCTTACACTGTTTGACTGTTACATGATAGCAACTACTATTATGTAATATCATTTTTATATCATATTATAATTTCATATATAATTAATTAGAACGTTATCTAGAAGCTTGCTTGCATGCGCTAGAAGCTTGCTTACATGCGTAAACACTTTAGAACCGCAACCGCATCTGTTGTTATTGTGGTTAACTATATCTTGCTGTAACATACTGTATTGCGTATGGGATGTAGGTCACAAAACCACAATACTTCCCATTAGATATTATATATATATGAGTAGTTTAGACCACTGAGTACAACCTACGAGGACAACCTACGAGCACAAGCTACGAGGACAAACTTAGGAGGCATAGCCTACCGAAGTAGGTTGACAAGATACAATCTACCAGACAACTATCTTGGCTTCTGTGCCATAACTATCTTTTGGCTTCTGTGCCTTTAATCTATTGGAAAACTATTGTGAGTCATTGTTGGACTCACGAACGCTCAAGAATAAAGACTCGCGGTTGTACTCAGACAGAGGAGATAAGTTTTGCTCATACTTATTGATATAATTATTAAGACACTTATCTACTTTTTATATTTACGCGTTGATTAATAAGTTGTTTGAGAAATATAACTGGTTCACACTATCTTTGTTGCGTGTGGAAATAGAACCAAAATTAATAGTTATTCTTACGGGACCACGCACGTAACATTGACAACTTCATTATTCAGCTCGGCGATTCTTGCATTTCCTTCATCGATTTGCAGACGGTATTTTTCTTCAAGCTCTTCCTCCCTATCTCGTTGCAGTTGAAGACATTTCGCCACCGAGTCGTCAAAAGCAGTGGCAGATTTTTTTAACTGCATTTTAAGTTCTTTGGTCTCGTCTTCAAAATCTGCGCATTTCATCTTCAAATCTTGAATCACGTCTGCATGATGAACACAAAATTAATCGAATTAATTTTTTTTAGACTCAAGAACGTTCAGTAATTTACGTTTCTAGTTACGTAATTCGAATGCTTTGATGACGTAATTCTAACGCTTGAAGGACTGTATTTTGACTAATGACATAAATAACCACTGATGGAGCTTCAAACATATGAAAGTTGGGAAAAAATAAAAACAGAGACTTACCTTCGAATTCCTTTAAACCAGTGTTCAGTTTTTGATTTTCGTTGTTCAGTTTTACATTTTCGTTGTTCAGTTTTAGATTTTCGCAGTTCAGTTTTTCATTTTCTCGGCGTTTCTGTTCAAGTAGAGCAATCTCTTTTGTCAATTTCTCTACACTGGCACGCAAATGTGCATTTTCACATATCACTTTTTCATAGTCGACGACATCAGATAACGAAAGACGACGTTTTTCATCATTGACTAAAGTTCAAAGAAACATAAAAGGACGTTTGATCTTTGACGCTTGAAGAAAGTCAATGCAGTTGACTTATTAGATGAAAAACTATGCAAAATGTAAAATTCACATGGACTTCGCTGTGCGCATGCCTTATTATGTTGTTACCCCAAGGAAAATGATAAGTACGTTGCACATAAGATACTTTTACATAGCTTTCTCTACCATGCTTTTCCTTCAGGTTTCTAATGCCAATGAGATCCACCATATCATCATGATGTTCTGTGTCCAAAGAACTGTTTTTCATCTGTTCATCAGCTACCTAAAATATTCGGTTACGCATAACTATTGACTTTAATTAAACAAGTAACAGCGTTGCAAGTAGTTTTTAACTATAGCAATTAACATGACTAGAAAGGTTAGCACTATTTTCCACCCAGCAAACCGCCCTTTACTTTACACAATCGGAAATAAATTAAAGATGGCGGCTAGTGGGAAAGAACAAAAAGCAAAAAGGAAACCATGCATGCACTGGTGCTAGGTCGTTTTGAGATGGCGAGTAATTTTATATTTTTATAATACAGTTTTTAATATCAACATATGAAAATATTTACAGATAAATGTTGCAGTATAAATTTTCATGCAACCACCTTAAGTTATAAACTTATAATCCAGGCTGGAAAATACGTCGTTTTTCGACGATTGTGTAAAATATTACATAAAATATTATATTGTGTAAAATATTAGATTGTGTAAAATATTATATTGTGTAAAATATTATATTTCAAAGTAAAGGGCGGTTTGCTGGGTGGAAAATAGTGCTAACCGACTAGAAACTGGACTAGAAAGAACAAAAAGTCGGGAAATTGGGTGGTAAAATACCCGGATCGCCACCCAAAAAATATCAGCCCGCAAGCCCATGACTTATCGTGAATTTTAAAAGCAGTTACTCGAGTCACTAGAAGCACCTCGTTCTCATAGAAGCGATAACGGAAACTACTATCTCTAAGAAATCCATTCCTAGTCCAAGGTCCAGTAGTTTCCGTTATCGCTTCAATGCAATGTGTAGCCTTCCAACTGTTGCTTGTGTTTTCTTCCAAACTATCCGTGAGCTTTTTCAAAAAGTTCTTGAAAATATATATTTTATATGTTGTATAGAATATAAACTGCTTTGTATATCATTAATATTCATTCTACAACGAAGGTAACTAAAACTCGATTGTGATTGCCTATGAGAATACATATAATTCTCAATGTCTTGCCGTCAGCAAAAGATGTATGTAGGTGACGTAATTTTTTATGTGACAACTGTAAACCCAAAAAGTTAAATGGCGGAATCTTCCTAGACGTTTGAGAATCTTCCTAGACATTTGCCAAGGTTTACCGACGGATTTGGCTGAAATTTTTAAGGTTAAGGACGCAAAAACCCGAAAACAGCAACACGATCAGAAGTGTTTTTAACGATTTTTACGTGTGAGAACACAAAAGCAAACCATTAAAACCTCGTGAATAAATAGACAACCACGTCTAACTCATTACTTCTTTGCGCATGTAGATCGTCCAAGTTAGCAGAGTCCTGACAAGGACTATTGGTGTTGATGTTGACTGAAGTTTTGATAACCTTAACGGTAGTCATCTTCAGAATCAAGTCACTTATACGATACAAATACAGAAACGCTTTATATGGATAACATTTATCAAATTCGTGATATCGTGTTACATCGTGGCGAATTTTCTCACCTGCTTTCGCGATTGCCAGAGGTGTAACTAGAACGTTAAATGGGGGGTAAATATTCTTATAGTCAGTTTCGCCCGACTGATTTCTTTTGAAACTCAATTCAATTTCATCAGTAAAGAACAACGGATTTTATGAATATGCACCCCATCCCCACACACAATTAACGTTCTAGTTACGCCTCTGGCGATCGCTGCAGATCTGCGACAATGCAACTAAAAGTGTTTAAGCCTGGCCTCACTGGCGAGATAAGGATAAGCATAAATGTGTCCTCACTTTCAAACTGCAATAAGCACAATTATCAATAAAAATAACAAGAACAAAGAGTTTTGACAATCTTGTGCGTATGCAGCATGAATAAAGCATCGCCTCTAACTGGCCGATGTGATCTTCTTGCTCCTTCAAAACTTGCTTCAATTCAGTCATGGTTACTGTATCCATGTCGCAGCGACCTTTAAGGGTTGTGATCTCGCCTAGTTGAGAATTAAACGGCATAGTCATGTTTTGAACAACAACAGCTTCCCCAGGAAGGAAATCTTGAATTCTATGACAAAGAGCTCTCGATGAGCTAACATTGAAATAAAAAATTTACCGCTTTCACCGTTAATACGAGTAAATAATTACTTAAATAATAAAATTAGCCTTATGGCCCTCGTTAAAACTCACTTTGCATCTTTCAGCTGTAGCTGCATTTATGTTTCTCAAGTTCCGCAATTCGGTCACAACTTACTTTAAGTTCATCATTGAGCGATGTAATTCGTTCTTTGTTTATATCGTTTTCCCCATCGTTGATCATTTCAAGAAGCGCGTTCTTCTCGACAGTCAGTTCATCCAGGGAGCGTTCACGCTCGACGTAATTTTGTTTCATTTCATCCTCTGAATCAAATGAATTTGTTGATTTGTAAATGCCACTCTTTAATATGATAAGAATCGTACCCGGAGAGAACAATGTCCTAAATTGCGGATAGGGATAGGGGGATAGCGGTTGTACTCCACAGCAAATACACATTTAAATAAAACAAAGGAAAAAAAGAGTCTATCATCATATGCATTGCACGCGTAATCAGCAATTTTTTGAAGCACAAAATGTACTGGCAAGAGTATATTTGCGATTTGATTCTTCGTAATTCCTGTAGTCATGTAGCAATTAGTATAGGTAGTAGTAGTTTCGAGTTCGAAGGACGAGCGCTATTTTCAGTCTTTAAAAACTCAAAAGTGCATGTTTAGACGTAATTGCACGGGTAACTATACTACAACTTATAAATAATAACATACTTTAAGATATATTGGCTTTCAGTGGTTTTTAGCCAATCAGGTTACGGTATTTACAGGGCAATTATGCTTTTCCACAGTGCAATTACAAATAAACTGCATTACTATCAACCAATAACAGTCGAAAAATATCTCAAAGTATGCCAATCATTACATTTTTTGTAAAAGAGGAAAGGCGAAATTAAATTTCGACTTAAATTCAACGACATTCAAGTTTTGTACAAACTATGACATACAATCACGGCGGGTCATACCTTTTTGTTTAAAATAGGTTATTTGACCATTGGAATCAGCTATGATTAATTCATATTTTTTGATCAAGTCAGCATTTTCCGTTTCCAGTCGAGCAATAGCTTCGTCTTTTGCGAGTATTTCTATCTCCTTCTCGTCCAAAACGAACTGCTTTTGCTCCAATACGTCTTGATCAGCGATCAACGCATGTCTTAACTCCTCCACAAGCTTATCCTGAATAAACAAATATAGGCACGTCAGATGTATGTATCCACTCGTGTTTAGCAAGGTAAAAGCCGAGATCTAGACAATGTTCTTCCATCGTCTCCTTTTAGATGTTAATATACTCATTGGCCGTTTTTATGCTTAAAACTGTTAATAGACGTCTGGACAGATGATATTTAATGATCGTTCGGAATATATGCTCACAAATCTTTGGACGGAATAAAAACAAGATGTTTTCGCCTTCGATATGTATATTTCACTGACATTTGATTGACATGTTTTTCTTCTATTATGCATTTATAATTACTACTCTGATCTTTCTTACACTCCCCAGTGTTGACATAATAAAATGTTGTCAACAAACAAAACAAAAAAAACAAAACTATTTTTAGCTAAGAATGTACAGTTATTTAGAACTTGTTTGTATTCTGCAATCTTCGCAATTGTCCTGTTATTCCCGCGCTGCGTTGTGGTCGATCAGTTGGACGAAGGACTTGTTCTTTTTCGCCTTTCTTATCGTTCTCTACTCTTTCGTTAATGTCTTCTTCCTGATGAACCTCAATTGGAATAAGTTGCCTGATAGAACGTCGTAACAAGTGTGAATGACTAGAGTCTCCACGAAGGACTCTGACTTGTGCAGCTCGTGTAATTCCATCGTCACCTTGTAACAATTGTTCAACTTTCGCCACCTTCCAAAAGATACGTTTTGTTTGATCGTTGCGAATAATGACGATATCTCCCACTGCTATTTCGGGATTTTGATTACCTCTTGATTTTGAAGTGTATTGCTCTCGTAAGGCTAAAAGATACTCGTTTCTCCATTGAAGAGTAAAACGTTGCAGTAAATTTTTGTGATGTTTCGCCTTTCTCGTCAAAGATTGATAGGTGCTCTGAATTTCAAAGTGCTCACTGTTTGGCATGGTCGTTATTCGTCTTCCATACACCAAGTGCGACGGGCTTAGCGGAAGAGATACAGCTTCTTCATCATCGTACACGTAGGTTAGGGGTCGTGCATTTATTACGCCCTCGATTTCAATCACAATAGTATGCAACTCGTCGTAGGTTAGATTGGTTCTACCAACTACCTTTCGCAACGGACGTTTCACGCTTCGAATCAAACGTTCCCAGAAGCCTCCCACCAAGGGGCCTTTTCGACGATAAATTGCCATGTAATCTGATGGTTTGCAAGATAGCGTAACACTTCCTCAGAACGACATAACTTGCGAATTTCTAAGCATGCAGCTCGGAAAGTCTTAGCATTATCGGATATAAGAAGAGCTGGCAGTGCTCGTCGACTAGCGTATCTGCGGAACGCGCGGAGAAAGGCTGGAACGCTTAAGGAAGGAGTGAGCTCCAGATGAATGGCTCTAGTAGACGCACACGTAAACAATAGAATATACACCTTTGTTGGATTATTGACAAATTATTCCTTTCACAACTCTCTCGTACGAACAAAGGTCCGGCAAAGTCCAAACCTACGTTTGTGAAAGGGGGATCATCCGACACTCTGCTAACAGGAAGATCTGGAGGAGGCGTTCCCCCATAAGGAAGACCTTCGGCTTTACGACAAACGACACATTTCCTGACGATTTTCTTTACTGCTTCTCGACCACGGATTATCCAAAAATGCTCTCTAATGGTTGTTAGTGTATCACGAATACCGCTGTGCTTCACATTGTGGTGAACCTCGCATATTAATAACTCCACAAATCTTGATTCCTTTGGAAGCAATACAGGATTTTTGCTCTCCAGATTCAGCGATGAATTCTTCAGTCTCCCATGGCACCGCAGCACGTGATCACCGTCAAGAAATAGCCCAAATTGCTTAACATAAATGGGTATTGAAGAATTCACCTTCTTTGACAGTAGGAATAATATTTCCTTTTCAAAAGATAGTTGTTGAATAGACCTTATCCACAGCAGCTGCGCCTTCCTTATTTCGTCTGAGCTTAGTTCTTCTGAGGTTGTGAGTTTGTTTGTTGTTCGCTCGCACCGTGGCATCTTCTTTAACATGTTGATGAATCTCATTACATAAGCAGTTGTTCGAAGAAGTTGCTTCATGGAGCTATAACGACATTCGGATGCTCTTTCACAATTTCCCTCAGAACTTCGTCACTTTGTGAGAGGTTGCCAACTGGACGTTTTGGTCACTCTTCTTCGCCCCTTGCCAAGAATTTGGGTCCATTGAACCATAAGGAAGAATTCGAAAGTAGTTGCCCAGAAATACCTCGTGAGGGTAAATCTGCAGGATTAAGTGATCCACGACAAAAGTTCCAAGATTCCGTCAACGAAATACTTCGAATCTTGTTCACTCGATGCTGCACGAATGGTTTCCATGCTCGATCGTTTCGTATCCAGTGAAGTCCTGTCATCGAGTCAACCCAATAAAAAACTTCCAGACTCCACTTGAGTGCCTTTAACAAAGACTCTACTAACTTCGCTAGTACAGTCGTTGCCACCAGCTCTAAACGGGGAATCGTTTGCTTTTTCACTGGTGCCACCTTTGTCTTTGAAGCGATTAATTTCACGTCGATGGTACCATTCTCATAGACTGTTCTTACATAGACAACAGCACCAATTGCACTTTCAGATGCATCACTGAATCCATGAACTTGTGCAGTAAAGTATTTCGGTTGGAGTAGATAATAGCACCTCGGTACACGAACATCATTTAGAAACCTTAACTCTGACAATAAAACGTTCCACTGTTCACGCAGATTGCCATGCAGTTCACAGTCCCATCCCAGTCTATCCAAGCACATGATTTGAAACAGAATTTTGAGCCTTATCGTAAAGGGAGACAAGAATCCAAGGGGATCGAAGATTTTAGATGACCATTTCAACAACGATCGCTTTGTAACAGGTAATGAATTGGCGTACTCGATTATTTCAGTCAAATTGAATAGAAATGTGTCCTCCACCGTATCCCACACCATTCCTAGTACTTTGACTTGAGTGGGTTCCGTGAGCAGTGACTCTTTTGCAATTGTGAACTTTGTAAAGGACTGATCATCTTGAGTAACGCTTGACTTGTCACTAATCAAGCTCAAATTCTTTTTACCTTCTAACGCTTCGATAGACTTCACTACGTTACTGGAATTCGAGTTCCATTTTCGCAAGTTGAATCCACCCTTGGCCATCAACTGCTTTGTTCCCTTGTATATTTGCAAAGCGGTTTCATCGGTTTCAGCACCGGACACAAAATCATCGACATACAGAGAATTTTTCAAGTGTTCAACAGTTTCTGGCTCCTGCTTCTCGTGTGTCTTCAAATGATAGTTGATAGTAGCTCCTAGAATTGCTGGCGAAGGTCGTAGACCAAAAACCAATCGACAAAACCTTAGCTTTAATACTTCTGAATGAGGATCCCTAGCGTCCCTTAGCCACAAAAAACGAAGCATGTCTCTATCTTCTTTGTCAATTCCAATCATTAAGAATGCTTTCTCAATGTCAGCAACTAGCCCAATCTTGTTGTGTCGAAATTTGACGAGCAAATCAAAGATTTGTGGAATGAGGTTCGGCCCGGTCAGTAAGCAATCGTTTAGTGAAAAGTTACGCAAGTTCGTTGTAGCAGATCCATCATATACAACGCGTAGCTTCGTAGTAACCTTATCCTTTCGTATGACACAATGATGGGGAAGATAGTGAATTTTACCACGATCCTTATCAGATGCCGGAACCCATTTGACTATTCCTGCTGCCAATTGTTCAGTAATACCATTATTAAAATTCTTCAAGATTTTGTGGATCCTTTAGCAATTTTCGATGCAATGATCTCAATCTATTATGACAGAGTTCGTAATCGTCATCAATTTGCACATGATCATTTTTCCACGGCAGACCAACTTCGTAGCGTGTTCCAGCGAATTGAATATTTCGCACAAAATCTTGTTCCTCGGGTGAGTTCTCCGAGTCAAAGGAGTCAATGCCAACGTTCTCAGTTTCCCAAAAACGCTTCAATGATATTGTTAACTCAACCCTATCGGTTACGACAGTAGAATTATCAAGGCAGTCGGCTGCTAAAATGAGGCTGTTCAGAGTATGTCCGTCTGATTTTTGTGATGACCATCCAGACAAAAGCCATCCCAATTTGCTGCTCATCGCTGTTGGACCATTTTCTCCTCGTACGACATCACCTGTGACTACGTCCCAATAATGATCACCTCCTATCAAGATGTCCATTGAATCACAGCTACCATTGTTATCAGAAGAATCAAAGTCTGCAAGTTCTAAACCATGGAGATGTGGATATTCGTCTATATTTATCCTTGTAGGAAGTGGTGCACATATTGTTGGAAATGCGATTGCTATCTCTACTACCTCACCTCCACTCTTGTTTGCAATGCTCACCTTGAACACTTCGCAGCTTTCACGTTTACTCTTGCTTTGGCCAAAGGTATTTAATTGAAGTGTCTCCTTACCAATTGAATTTAACCATAACCGGCCTTGAAGTGACCTTCGAATGTAAGACCTTTGGCTTCCAGTGTCAAAGAGAATTCGTGCTGGAACCGATTTTGATCCATTTGATACGAGAGCTCTGGCCGTCTGCAAAAGAACACTTCCCTTGACAGTTCGTGTGACAGCTGTTGTGGTTGGAGAGTTTACACCTTCTGATACTTTCTGTGGATTGGTGTCATCAATTGCTTTCTCATTTTGGACACCCTGACTGTTGGTAGCAGGATTGCTGCAAATAGATTGGTGATGCCTCCCGGAACAATGTCGACATTTTCTTGTGACGATACACTTGCTTGCTTGGTGTCCCTTTTTCAGGCAAATAAAGCAACGGTTGGAGTCCCTTAGAATTTTAACTCGGGCTTCCCTTCCCTTTACATCTTCACAAGATGCTGAATAATGTGATCCTTGACAGTATACGCATTTTACCTTGAAGCTACAGGCACCGTCTTTATCATTTTTTGTCACTACAAATGTTCCAGCTGTCGATGGCTTGTTGGGCTTATCTTTGTTCTGGGGTTTTTCAATCGAACGCGATGACTCGCTCATTTCACGTGCCTCAACTTCAAACTTTATGGTTTTGAGCAACTCGTCAATTTGCCAAACATCACCAGTAGCTTTTCGTGCTACCTGCAATCTTATTTCACTCGGTAGTTTGGACATAATAATTGGTATTAGCAGACTGCCGTACTGGTTTGCAGATACCCCAAGCGAATCAAGTCCTCGCACTTGAACACTTATTTGATCGAAAACATATCTCAATTGCCCGGTACGATTTTCAGAACATGCAGATATTTGTAGGATTTGATCCATATGTGCGGAAATGACCTGTTGGGTTGGACCAAATCTATCTTGCAGAATCGCAATTGCTGCGTCATAATTTGCGGATGTTAAGGTAAGTCCCTTAATCGAACGAGCTGCACTACCCTCAAGTAATGAGAATAGGTAATTGAATTTGTTTACCTTAGACATACTCTCGTTGCTGTGAGTCGTAGCATAGTATAAGTCCCAAAAGGCGTTCCATTCTGTGATCTTTCCACTGAATTTTGGCAATTGAAGTTTGGGAAGCTTTGGCATCATTATCGCTGGTGTTGTTCTGATAGGGGCATTCAAAATCGTAGAATTCGTATTAATCACTTCATTCGTAATCGTATCAATAGCATTCGTGTTCGTATAGACCGTATTCGTGTTCGTATAGACCGTATTCGTGTTCGTATTAACCGCATTCGTGTTCGTGTTCACCGCATTTCGTGTTCGTATTAACAGCATCCGTGTTCGTGTTATTCTCATCGTTGCTTATCGTTGTGTTACTCGTGCGTGCTGTTTCTACCACTAAAGGAATCTGTTCGACTTGTGGTGTAGGAATTTGCCTTCTTTTTATAGTTTCTTGACAAATCTCCGGTTTTCTTGCTGCTTCGATTTTACGTCTAGTGCTTAGAATTCTATCCGAGACGGCGGCTGCTTCTTCAATTTCGTGTTCAATATCCGTTACATCGCATATCCCAATGATTTCGTCGTTTATTTCGTCTAAGATCTTCATCTTACTCTCGAGTTGTTCAGCGATGACATTACATCGTTCGATGTCTACTTCAGTGGTATCCAGAAGCTCGAGTGCTTCTTTTACAAGCCTTGTACACACGCCACGATAACCGCCTCGTTTGGCGCGAAGTCGTTCAATATTATCCTTCGACATTTCTTTGGTTTTCGAATGAAGCTGTTCTATAATACCGTCGTATACTTACTTACCGGCCCCACGTTGGGCGCCATTTAATGATCGTTCGGAATATATGCTCACAAATCTTTGTACGGAATAAAAACAAGATTTTTCGCCTTCGATATGTATATTTCACTGACATTTGATTGACATGTTTTTCTTCTATTATGCATTTATAATTACTACTCTGATCTTTCTTACATGATACGTCCAGTTATGTCAACTGTCAAGAATGAAGACGGTTTGACTCGTCTTGTGACCGTTTTTATCGTTCCGACAAGTTTAAGCCACGCACCAAAGAAATCCGTCTTACGTCGTCCGTCTTAAGACGCATGATATTAACTGTCTTAAGCATAAAAACGGCCATTGATTTCTCTCGTGTTGTATGCACTGTTGACCGGATGTTAGTAGTATTTCTGCAGCGTAAAGATGAGATCTCAATGTATTGTTCCTGTTGGAAAACTCCTCTCCGCTTTCCAGTTGCTGGTTCAATAACACTCTGGAGACTGTATCTTTCGACAATTTTATTGGACATACTCACAACTCTCACTCAAAAACTCTCTAATTATTTACATGTCTTTATACTGATTGCTTCGGGCAAAGTTCACAGCACTCCATTCATTAGGAACTAAGCTTGTGGGTCTTAAGGAAATTATGAGTACATACTACACCTACCGGGACATACACCTAAAATAGCTGCACGTAAATCTGTTCTTTTCAATGGTTTTAATTTACATATTTTTTTTCGATGTCATGCAATCTGAATAACCCCAACCGTATCTGTATTCAAAAAGAATTCCTTAACAGTTTCTCTTTCAAAAAGGTAGCCCCCAGTCTCCTAGATGTTGTTTGGTAAAAGAAGATCCTGATTCCCGGAACCTGCGTTTTGTTGTACAGGACCCTTCGACATCTTGGTCTTCTACGCATTTATATGCGCTGTGTCCAACCTTCATTACTCAGAGCAATTAATAAGCCCTTAATAACCGAGCGCGAGGTCTTTACGGAGAAATATCGGACCGAAGTTTTTCCGTACAGACCGAGCACGTAGGGCGAGGTTTGTACAAATAGACAGAGGTCCCATATTTCTCAGTTAAGACCGAAAAAGCGAGGTTATTAAAAGGTTTATTATATGGCATTATTTGACGTGAAATGAAGCTTGCTTTCTTTCTCGTCCTTGCTGCTTCATACCGGTTGGCTTTCACTTTTCTGATTTTCGTCCATAAAAAATAAATCGTTTCAAATTATATCGTCTGGATAGTAAAACTGTTTTCCAAGTGTTTTTCCTTCGAATCACATTCGTAAATGTTTCTTTGTTTCGTTTATTTTGCGTTTTGCAGTTTGCATTACGAAGTTTGTTTACATTTGACTGTAAAATTACGCGTTTTAGACAGTGCTCGATTACGGGAAAATAATGGACCGGCAAAAATGTTTCTGAGCCAATCAAAGCATGCATTTTTCCGGAAGTGACGCTTGCCATGTAATAATTGACCTTTTATTTCTTCATTTTTCTCTTTTTATCATCTGTTTCGCCGTAACGTGTGCACGAAGTGATCTGGTTTGCTGCGGGTACTTTAACATCGTACGGCAAATAACTAGACAGAATGTGAGCGTCATTACCAATATGCAATGTAAATATTCAAATCTCTTAAATTTGTGCATTTTCGCAACTCATAAAACATTATTTATTGTAAACTCAAACGAAATATTGATTGGACTAAGACTTTTTATCCACGTTAGAATGATATGAAATTTGAAGAATACAGAAACAAGCATGCAGCTGGTGTATGTTGGACGTTGAAAAAATGAGAAATCTAAGTGCCTGTATTGAAGAGGAATAAATGCAATTCAATCAATCTTTGACTAACAGAGTTATAGCAGTTTCAAAAGCAAAAGGAGGTCATACAAAATTTTAGAATGATGTCAACTTGTTCTAAATCATATAAATTTAGTGCAAATACGTATTGCATGCCTTTATATTGCTTTGGCAATGACAATGGGTTGAATACCAACCAAAGGTTGGACATTACTCACGACATACACAACGCAGACTTACAAACATTATGAAACGCTTCTGCACAGATATTGACATTCGACTAATTTTCACATCATTCAAAATCGAAAACCTATTCTCATTCAAAGACCCAATCCCTGATTCAATTAAATCTATGGTGGTATATGAATTCAATTGCGCAGGATGCAACACCAGCACAGAGGCCGTGCAAAGTCGTACTACTTGTAATACGACTGTTGAATTTAAATAGCTGAATTTTAATTAGGTAAATACGTTGTCAATTCGTCTTACTGAAGCAATAGAAATTGATGCAACAATGGTACTACCATCGTATTTTTATAAGTAAAACAAGTTAGGCACAAGAAAAAGACTCGTGGCAAAGAGCAATTGTGGAACACAACGGTTAACATGCAGCAACATGGGTCACAAACCTTTGCAACATCGTCAGTTCCAATCTGTTCTTTGAAATCGCCGAGTATCGCTTTGAATATTTCACTATCCCGTCGCTCGTTCCCAGCCTTATCACGCGCGCGGCACATTGGACATGAAACCTGTGTAAGTGACGGTGAATTGAAATGAAATAAGTAAATGACACGAAACAGATAGAAATGTGAAAATTATTACAATGATCTCAAAAACGTTTTGACGCCTCACAATTTTTGTGGTTGAGACCACGCGTCTCAGAGATGGATTCTGGATGATTTCGTAGAAAAGGTACTCTGGTTTGACAATACAGTTTTTTTACAAGTTAATTCGATGGTTCCCTTCATTTACGAGGAAATCAGACAGGCTAATAAGATAAACTGAACTAGTAAAACGGTGGAAAAAAGGTTCATTTAATGTAAACGACGAGGTTTTGAAAATAGACATGTTTCGACACGTCATGATGCCATCTTTAGTATGAGTGAAGAATTACATAACTAATACAAAGTTTATATAAATGTAAAACGATACAGTAACATAAATATATAAATATGGATAACTTATAACAATAATAAGGAAATGAGATAAATCAATGGGGAGCGTGTAACAAACTAAATATTGTGTTGAGTCTAAAAACTTGAACATTGAGGTCAAGGGTTAGTTTTGTTAATGTGGAGTGCTTCTTTGATTTTAAGGGAGAAAGAGGTGTCTGCAGTGTCGATGATATTGAAGCAGGAGGGTGAATAGTTGGTTTTACATGAATGAGATTTGAGAAGGTGCCATTTATCCACCAGAATCAGGGAACATACCACAACAGGCAAAAACTCTCATATCTACCGTTACCTTCCTAAATCTCCTTCATAAAACCAACTTTTAACCCTCTTGCTTCATAATTATCGACACCGCAGACACCTCATTCTCCCTTAAAATCAAAAAAGCACTCCACATTAACAAAACTAACCATGACCTCAATGTTCAAGTTTTTAGATTCATCACAATATTTAGTTTGTGACACGCTACCCATTAATTCCTATCATTTCCTTATTATTGTTATAATTTATCCATATTTATGTCACTGTATCAAATTCCTTTTCTATAAACTTTGTATTATTTATGTAATTATTCACTCACACTGAACATGGCATCATGAGATGTCGAAACATGTCTGTTTTCAAAAAACTCGTCGTTTACATTACAATCAAACCAAATGTTGTGTTCCCCTGAACATTGTAACATACCGGTCACTTTAGCAATACTGATTGGCTGATTCCAAACGCAACTAGCTCTAGCGAACTGCACCTTTCTTGCGCTGAAGTAGCTAAACATTCTCTTGTAGAAGTAATGGAAAACAGGTTTCAGATAGTGTTACCGTAATTAGGCGGACGCTATACTAGTTTTTTTTTTCCGAGAAACCGTTTGCATTGTTTCATGAATTTATATGTAAGATAAAAGAAGCGATTCCGTACATTCAAAATTTACTGAATGCAAAAATAAGAGTTGCATACAAAGACGTAAATCTTGTTTTGTTCATCGCTGTTCCTCCTAACGACAATCTGGTCATCTACAAGGCATTTCGAAATGCGTACGATTGTGGGGCGGAAGCATTCAAAACAATCGAGCTCGAAGCTGTATTTTTTATAATTTTCGAGGCTGTTCTGTTTCATATTCCCAATTAGGAAGCAATGCTTTTGAATGTTTCGCCTTGCCCCGATAAATCAACAACACGTTCTCGATTTGGTAAAAAAAATTGTTTAATTTTTTTGTGTGAATTACATGATGAGAAGTATCAACAGTACAGCACGGGAAAAACTTCAAATTGCAATTGTGTTTGGAATAAGCTAATGAATATTGCTAAATTGACAGGTATGTTGCAACGTTCAGTGGAACACAACATCCGATTTGACTGTAAATGCACATTAGCGATGGTGCTTTTACGAAATTATGGTAAAAAAAGTTCATGGATTATTACTTCATACCGGGAGGTCGTGCATAACTACTTTCAAATACCTAGGTAATAGCAATCTTCGACGGGGTTACATACTGTCTCCGAGTGGTCTTTTGTTTTAAGTATTCTTGCTAATGTTTGCAAGCACAAGTAATCAGAATAGGCAAAGAAAAAGCTAAACTGAAACCGCGACCGTGCCTCTATTGACTGAGTATCCAAACTATCATTTTTCATCTCATTTTCATCAACAGTATCAGAAGTTTCTCGTTTATTCATTTCGTTCAAAAGCTCGTTTTTTTGACGACTCAACACCAATTCTTTCTCGACACCACCCTTCTGCAAGGTTATGCTTTCCAAATCTTTTTTCAAGACACAAATCCGATTATTCAGCTCATCAACTTCAATTGTATGTTTGCTATTCATGCTTTCGACAACATCTTCATTTTTCGAACGCAACTCCTCCCTTACGCAAACTAATTCGTTTTGTACACGAAGCAACTCCATCTGAAGCTCATCCTTTTCCGCCACGAGTGTATCTTTCTCGTCCGTCGCATCAGACTCACCAGCACTGCCAATTTCCATCTTCAATTTTGATTCCAAATCAACTATACGTGACTCTTTTACGTTCAAATCGTCGTTCAAACTTTCCATCACCGACTCCATTTGCGTAATTCGTTCATTCAACTCCACATTTTCATTTATAATATCCTCGTGCTTTTGGGTCTTCTCCGCGACACAGTCTTTAAGTTCGCAAATTTGCGACGCGTTTTCTCCGATCAATTTGTTCAGACGCATTCTTTCTCTCTCGTTACTCTCGCCTTCCTCTTGTTTGTCTTGTAATTTGAACAAAAGCGCGTTCACTTCATCTTGCTGAACACGACTCAACTCTTTTTCTTTCTCGTTCACTGCTTCGCGAATGAATTCGATCTGATTGTCAAACTCTTCTTTCAACCGTTGTTCGCAGAGTTCATGTTTTTTGATCAACTCCTTTTTTGATTCCACCAACGTTTCTAACTCCGCGGTCTGTTTTATAATTAAAGATGATTTCTCGTCTATGAGCGCATCCTTTTCTTTCAAATTTAACAGAAACGTCTCCTTCTCGTCTGAATAACTATCTGCAGTTTTTAAATTTTCTTCTAATCTTTGAAGTGCTTTGGTCTTCTCTTCTAAAGTTAGTTGCGCATCTTGTAAAGTTTTCATTGTTTCCTTCAGCACTGCTGTGGTCTGCTCATAGTTTATAGTAGCTTTAAGTAAATCTTCCTCAAGTCTTACCCCACTAGATATACTAGATATACGATCTTTGATGTTGGATTGCTTTTGAATAAGCTCCGTGGTCATTTCAGATAAATCGCTGCTTAAATTTTCCTTTTCTTTCAATTTCTTCTCGCATTCTGCTTCGAGTTTAAGTGCACGAGCTTCGCTGTCTTTCAACATGCACTCACTTGACCTTAACGTTTCCTTCAACAGACTCATCTCCGATTTACACGTTTTAATTTCGATTAAAAGTTTTTTATTTTCAATTATCATATTTTCCTTTTCCGAAATAACAGCTGCAAGACTGTCTTTTAAGACTTCAATTTCTTCGCCCATTTTTCTTTCAGTTACTTCACAGCGAATGTCACTTTTCTTCAGCAAATCTTCCACGTCTTCCTTACCAACATCTTTATCCAAACTACCAATTTCCTCTATTTGCAACTAGTTAACACGGGGGGGGGAGAGGAAATAAAAGCAAAACGCTAAGATTATTTCATGTCAAAAACATTGTGGTTTTCGTACAAAATAGCTTGAAGGCTTCTGCATTTATCATTGTATGATACAACAATTCTTGAATTCTGCTTTTGCATGATATCAAGAACTTTGCTTCAACAGATAACATTAACCTCGGGTCTGAGCAATTCTTGATATCATGCACAAAGTCGTCCAATAATTATCAATAAACATACCAATTTAATCTTTTCATCATGTTGTTCGACTTCATTAAGCAGTTTCCTTTTCTCCTCTTTGCATTTTTTCACCTCATCTTGCAAACTTGAGATTTCTTTTTCATCATTCTATAACGCAAATAAAAAAAATACAGTTTTGAAACTTCACAAGAGTTTGAACATTCCGCGAATGTCAGTGACGGGGGAAAAAAGAGTCAAAATTATTTCGGGTCATCTGAAATTAATGGAGGAAAAGCTCGCTTAGCATCGTTTCGATAGCTTTTTTAAAACTCTTGCAAAGAGAAATTAAAGCTGGCTTAGCACGAATATCGTCAAATCATTCAACAACAAAATATTTGTAGATTTTACACTTCAGGCAAAAAAAAGTTTATTTTGATCCAGCAACTTTAAGAAACAAGAAGCACACACGAAAATAAAATAATCCATACCTCGGCAGATGATCGTTTCTTTTCAATTACAGAGCAAGAAATGGCGCTATAAAAACAAAGCGTACGTCAAAAGCATTCACGGACCTGCATACCATTTACCTAATCGTCAGCTATATTAAAAAAATATCTCACCTAAAATTTGCCGTATTTTGTAAAGCGACATTGACTAAATTTCCATAAGACTATACGCGCTACAAAATGTAGTAAACTGAGTGAGATGATATGTGCTGATATTTACAGGTCAGTGATGTTAATAAACATCGTTGCATGTTGCAAGCACACCGGTTTCCAACGGCAACAAAGCTGTCATCTTTTTATCGAAGTGTCCCCATTTCTTTTCGTCCTAACGAGTTGAATTTCATTTTCGGAAGAAATGAATTACCGATAATGAGACAGGGCAAAGGTTAGGTTGGATGGTAAACGATGGCATTAGCGAGCTATGACACAAACTGTGACTCGTTGTCGTAGTGGTACTCTTGCTAAAGCTCTCCATTTTCTCCCTCACGGAGAGTGGAGTCTGAACAATTTTTTTTATCGCTCACGACTTCAAATTAAACATTGCAATGCCAGAAGCGTAATGGATCTATGTAAATTAGAGTCGGTGTTTCGGAGTTTAGACCAAAAACCATGACCAGCCGACAATTTAAAGAAGTATAATATAAAACAAATTCCGAAGAAACAAGACATCTTGAGATTGCATCATCCAGACATCATTCTGTCTGAGGATGACTTTGAAATAAAGTCGAAAATTTACAGTTTACTTCTCGTCTTGTTTTGATTCATATTTTGCAATCTCAAGATGTCTTATTTCTTCGGAATTTGTTTTTGTAATGGATCTAGTTATCTATATGGGAGACTGGGATGCATCTATGATGGCAATTGGTTTAAAAGATCCAGCTACGACACAGCCCTCTCACCAAAATTCTGACTGGTTAGAGCTAAAAGCCTACCAAAAACATATCAATGCGTTGAATGGCCACAACTTTTACTGGAATCACTAGTGCAAGATGAACCATAAAACTTAAGATACTTTTTAGTAAAAACGCAGCTTCCTTGTTTCAAGACTGAAGCTAATATCATGGCGATTGTCATTCTAATGATTCCCGATGAAGCGCGTTTTAACTTAAACCCACGTTAACTATGAAGTCGCTATTACACAGGTTCACTCCATTTGGAGCGAACAAAAGCACTGCTAAAGAGGCAAACAAACCAAACGAAAAACCTTTTTTTTGTCCTGTTGTATAGCCATGAGCTGTCATTTAAGAGAAAAGGCCCTAGCAATAGAAGTAATCGAGCCGTAGTTTTACATCCTTGTTTTTTTTTGCACGCCACGTACTTTATAACGAGGAAAGAGTGATTTTTGAGTCAATTCAAAAAGTTATAGCACATGCATCAATTGACATGACTTTGCGAAGTAAAAGCGATAAGACATTTATCATCTTTCAATTAGCTATTGTTATGTGTAAGCAAGATTCATAGATAACTCCGAATGACCCATACAATACAAAGAGCACAATATATTAATAGCTAAAACTTGATAAATATAATGTATATTTGGTGTTATGTACATGCGTCATAAATTAATCAGTTGCTGGATGAGACAAAACTGCAAATCGGAGATAAATGTTTGCTCAAATGGGATAATACGGTATACCGAATGCTCTTTGCACTTTCCATAAACGCAGCAAAATACTCAAATCTCAAATGAAATTAGCATCGGAGATATTTATACGGTCGAGGGCCATTTGAGCAATTCAAGGCGCTGTTGTCATGCTGCACATTCTTGTTGTTGACAAAACAAGCCAAAAATGAATGAATCTACAATCTTCTTCGTGGGAACGAGAATCGTAAAGCTTACTGCAAACGAGATAAAACTGAAAAACTTGATGCAAAACGCATAACCTTCCTCCTAATTCCAATTCTTAACGATTTCATTATCTTTGTTCCTTCACGACGCAAATTTGAATTCATCCAAAAGAGCACAATGCAACTGAACGTTGAGCCAAAGCACACAAAACTCATAGACAAAAGGCCTAAATTGATCAACAACGTATCCTTAAACAAAGGCGTATTCGACAGGGTTCGGTAAGCAACTAAAGCAATTTTCGGAGCGGAAGAAACAAAAAAGAGTAGAGCTGTCCAGAAACACGTGGAAAAAGCCTTGGTGGATGAAATCCTTTTAGATTTCGCATACTTTAACATTTCATTCTTCAAATAGCACAGAAGAAGTAACGTTAAAAGAACAAACATGCAGAAAACACCCCACACCTTTTTTTAAAATCGTGGCCAAAGATTTCCCAGGCGGAAAGCGAATTTTCAATATGAACATAATAGCCCAACATAATACTTTTAAAAAAGCCATCACAATAATAAAATAGAGAAGGATTTATTAATTACGTTTCGTCTTTAACTTAAGACATCTTCAGATTAATTGAGTTAATATATATACACGAGGTTTTAAATACAAACATATATTATGGGGTGTTAAATTACATGTGAGAGGAGTAGGAAGTTTAGATGACGGAGTTAAGTGAGAATGGCGGTATATTAAAGAAGGTGAAGGGGGATTGAGTTGCCTTGGGTGTTAAGAGAGGGTTTAAATTTGGATATAAGAAGGCTTTCATGAATCATAAGGTCATAATTGTGGGAGGAGGAAGAGAGAATTGAGAAATCATCAAAATCGGAAGGGTGAGATGTATTTCTTATATGAGAAAGAACTGCAGATGGTGGTGGACATAAGGAAGGCTTCCCTGTTAAGGGAGAGATTCCCAAGTGTTCTGATATTCTGGTGTGTAAATGACGCGTGGTTTGACCCACATATGATGCAGAGCAGCATCGAAACTTAAATGAGTATACAACACCAGATCTCAGGAGCATGGGAACCCTATCCTTAAAAGGAATGAAGGAGGAGAGACACCTGGAAGAACGAAAAACAAAGCGAACGTTGATATGAGGAAAGGCAGCATTGCAGAGTCGAGTGATTTGAGTGCGAATCTGAAGACAGTGTAGGCCAATGAAAGGGAGACAGAAGTACATGATTTTCTCAGGAGCAGTGTGAATAAGATCTTTGGGTTCAAATGTATTGTTGAGGAAGCGGTGAACATGATTGTCAAATATGTATGAAGGGAAGTTGTTTAAGGTGAACAATTTTCTAACGACTTCTAGTTCGGTATGAAAGTGTTCATAGCTGGAGCAGAGGTTGAAAATTCTGTGAAGTAAAGAGGAGATAAAGGAGCGTTTGTATTGAATGGAATGAAACTATGGAAATTGGTGAAGAGACCAGTGAAAGTGGGTTTACGATACACGGAGGTGGAAAACTTGCCGTTTGAGCGAGTTATTTTTACGTCAAGAAAGGGGAGCGTGTTGTCTTTTTCCAGTTCAGATGTAAAGGAGATGTTAGGATGTTGGTGGTTGAGATAGGTAAGGAAAAGAGGTATGTGATCCAATGATCGGAAGAGTAGAAAGCAATCATCAACGTAACGTTGGTAAAGAAGGGGTTTGAAGGTGGAGGGACAGTTGTGAAGCCATGAACTTTCATTGAAGGCCATAAATATGTTCGCAAATAGTGGGCCTAGGGGGCTGCTCATAGCCACACCATCAATCTGTTGATAAACTTAGCCGTTAAAGAAGAAATGACAGTTTTTGACGGAAAGGGAGAGAAGTTGAGTGAATTGTGACCGGTCAAGGCCTTGAAAGGACGTGTTATTGGAGAAGATGTGATTAGTTATTATGGCGATTGTTTCATCCACTGGGATGTTGGTGAACAATGATTTAACATCAAAGCTCGCCATCACAACGTTATTGGCGTTAATGTCACTTTGTAAAAGATCTTGGACAAAAGAGAAAGAGTCCTTGATAACATGGGAGTTGGCGGAGATTAGTGTAAGGAAAGGAATAAAGAATTTGGCTAGCTTGTAGGAGTAGTGGTCAATACTAGACAAGATTGGTCTTAGAGGGATGGAGGATTTATGAATTTTAGGGAGTCCATAAAGTATGCCGATACGTGTACCAGTGGGATAAAGTTCGTTGTATGTTTTTTCATTTATGCATTTTTTTGCCTTTAGTTTTCTCAGCAACGTCTTTATTTGATTCTCGCGTTTGAGTGTAATTTTGATGGCATCATCATTTAGAAGTTCGAATTTCGATGTGTCCGTTAGAATTTCCATCATCTTTTTGTGGTAGTCGTTTTTATTCAGAATAACAACTCCGTTGCCTTTATGCGGTTTCAGAATGACGATGTTGTTGTCATTTCTCAGATCATTTAACGCGTTTAGTTCATTCTCCGTGTATAAGGCATTCGGTTGGCTGTAACTGCGAAAACCCGAGTAAGCTATGTCCTTTAGTTTTGCTTTAATTGAGTCAGAGAAAAAGCCAGAGGGTGTGTGGACGGGTTCTTGTTGAAGGCGATTGTAAAATTTCTCAAATGGTGTGAGGAAAGTGCACGAGTTTAGTTTGGCAGGTGGAACAGCAAAGTTGAGGCCCTTCGAAAGGATTTCTTTTTCTTTTTGGGTGATGAAACGATTTGAGAAATTGAAAACCACGTCGTCAGGGTTGATTGGGTTTGTGTTAATGCTACGACCGCACATTCCAGACTGGCATCTTTGGTTTCAAACCTTGACTTCATTCACCTAAAACATGTTTCTGATCGTGAGAACTCTAAAAAACTAAGCCATCAACAACGCACCCAAGACCGCAAGATATTTCGCCTTAGCACTGGACAGATTAACACAAACCCAATCAACCCTGACGACGTGGTTTTCAATTTCTCAAATCGTTTCATCACCCAAAAAGAAAAAGAAATCCTTTTGAAGGACCTCAACTTTGCTGTTCCACCTGCCAAACTAAACTCGTGCACTTTCCTCACACCATTTGAGAAATTTTACAATCGCCTTCAACAAGAACCCGTCCACACACCCTCTGGCTTTTTCTCTGACTCAATTAAAGCAAAACTAAAGGACATAGCTTACTCGGGTTTTCGCAGTTACAGCCAACCGAATGCCTTATACACGGAGAATGAACTAAACGCGTTAAATGATCTGAGAAATGACAACAACATCGTCATTCTGAAACCGGATAAAGGCAACGGAGTTGTTATTCTGAATAAAAACGACTACCACAAAAAGATGATGGAAATTCTAACGGACACATCGAAACTCGAACTTCTAAATGATGATGCCATCAAAATTACACTCAAACGCGAGAATCAAGTAAAGACGTTGCTGAGAAAACTAAAGGCAAAAAAATGCATAAATGAAAAAACATACAACGAACTTTATCCCACTGGTACACGTATCGGCATACTTTATGGACTCCCTAAAATTCATAAATCCTCCATCCCTCTAAGACCAATCTTGTCTAGTATTGACCACTACTCCTACAAGCTAGCCAAATTCTTTATTCCTTTCCTTACACCAATCTCCGCCAACTCCCATGTTATCAAGGACTCTTTCTCTTTTGTCCAAGATCTTTTACAAAGTGACATTAACGCCAATAACGTTGTGATGGCGAGCTTTGATGTTAAATCATTGTTCACCAAAATCCCAGTGGATGAAACAATCGCCATAATAACTAATCACATCTTCTCCAATAACACGTCGTTTCAAGGCCTTGACCCTTCACAATTCACTCAACTTCTCTCCCTCTCCGTCAAAAACTGTCATTTCTTCTTTAACGGCTAAGTTTATCAACAGATTGATGGTGTGGCTATGGGCAGCCCCCTAGGCCCACTATTTGCGAACATATTTATGGCCTTCAATGAAAGTTCATGGCTTCACAACTGTCCCTCCACCTTCAAACCCCTTCTTTACCAACGTTACGTTGATGATTGCTTTCTACTCTTCCGATCATTGGATCACATACCTCTTTTCCTTACCTATCTCAACCACCAACATCCTAACATCTCCTTTACATCTGAACTGGAAAAAGACAACACGCTCCCCTTTCTTGACGTAAAAATAACTCGCTCAAACGGCAAGTTTTCCACCTCCATGTATCGTAAACCCACTTTCACTGGTCTCTTCACCAATTTCCACAGTTTCATTCCCATTCAATACAAACGCTCCTTGATCTCCTCTTTACTTCACAGAATTTTCAACCTCTGCTCCAGCTATGAACACTTTCATACCGAACTAGAAGTCGTTAGAAAATTGTTCACCTTAAACAACTTCCCTTCATACATATTTGACAATCATGTTCACCGCTTCCTCAACAATGCATTTGAACCCAAAGATCTTATTCACACTGCTCCTAAGAAAATCATGTACTTCTGTCTCCCTTTCACTGGCCTACACTGTCTTCAGATTCGCACTCAAATCACTCGACTCTGCAATGCTGCCTTTCCTCATATCAACGTTCGCTTTGTTTTTCGTTCTTCCAGGCGTCTCTCCTCTTTCTTTCCTTTTAAGGATAGGGTTTCCAAGCTCCTGAGATCTGGTGTTGTATACTCATTTAAGTGTCGATGCTGCTCTGCATCATATGTGGGTCAAACCACGCGTCATTTACACACCAGAATATCAGAACACTTGGGAATCTCTCCCTTAACAGGGAAGCCTTCCTTATGTCCACCACCATCTGCAGTTCTTTCTCATATAAGAAATACATCTCACCCTTCCGATTTTGATGATTTCTCAATTCTCTCTTCCTCCTCCGACAATTATGACCTTATGATTCATGAAAACCTTCTTATATCCAAACTTAAACCCTCTCTTAACACCCAAGGCAACTCAATCCCCCTTCACCTTCTTTAATATACCGCCATTCTCACTTAATTCCGTCATCTAAACTTCCTACTCCTCTCACATGTAATTTAACACCCCATAATATATGCTTGTATTTAAAACCTCGTGTATATATATTAACTCAATTAATCTGAAGATGTCTTAAGTTAAAGACGAAACGTAATTAATAAATCCTTCTCTATTTTATTATTGTGATGGCTTTTTTAAAAGTATTATGTTGGGCTATTATGTTCATATTGAAAATCCACACCTTTTTGTTGAAACGACTAATTGTACAAAAAAAAACAAAAGCAAGTACATCGTGCCCGAGTACGAAATAAGCAATTCTTCTTTTAGTCGCCATTCTACGATGAAAAAAGTGGATACTTCAATGCTAAGAACCTTTCAAAATTAAGAGCGAAAAGTATGCACATTGCATCTATATATATAAAGAAAATAAAACCCCACCATAGATCTTTCTGTATTTCGGACAGCGTATCCTCGCTAAGTACGGTATAAGTAAACCACATGAGCAACGGATGAATAAAAACAACAACGGTCAAGTTCGAACAGGACAAGAGAAATATCATGAAATAACCAACTCTGCTTCTTAGCGTCGACGAATTCAGTACGCTCAAAGTCGCTGGCGAAATGCTGTGAAATTAGTTCATGTCAAATGATGTAGATGAAGAGATGCTGTCGGAAGCGTTTTCGTTTCCGAAAGCTATTGTTGATTCTATATATAAATACAGCTGCATGCACGCATTCTATAACCCGTTCTCGATTCATCTTTTTTTTAAAGGGCGAAACGAGATATTGAAGCCTTTAACAGATGGCCACACTAAGAAATCATCTATCCCCCACCCAATGTTTTGTACTCCAGAAATATTAAAGTGTTTATCATACCAAATTTTACAATGTTTTCTCATTTTACAGTGTTTTCTGTTTAGAATAACTCAATACTTATATTAATGGAGATAATACTTTTTCTTGAGATATGTAACTTTTCTTCATTATGCATATGAGATCGTTATCACAACCCGCTGCATAATTAGTATTGGTAAATAGTAATTTCTTCTATGCTTTAATTCACTAAAAGTAGAATGAATGCGACTAATTACCCTGCTACCAAAGGTAAGCCTGAGTTTAAAATTAAAATTTTTTTGGCATGTTAATGAAGATTGAACGTCAAGGTTTTGACGTACATATTCCTTAAGGTTTTGACCTATGTATTCTGCAAATACATTGTGAAACATTACGATCCACCTTTGCAAAGGAACTAAATCGATAAAAGACAAACATATCGTGCAAAACCAACAATTCCAGAACAACAACACACTAAAGCAACAAACCGATCGCAAGCTAGTTGAGAGTTGGTTTTTTATTTATGGCACCGGACGAAATTCGCTCGCTCCGAGTTTGAGAATTGAACAATATGACATTATTATTTGATCATGCCCGTACAGGGAAATATGTCGCTCAGCCTCAATACATTTTCCCATACAGGCCTAAATGCCCGTATACAACATAACTATCTATATTCTTGCAAATGTCACCCAACTGTCTTACAACAGGTGAGCTAAGCAAGCAGGAAAAACGCCAATCAACTAACCTCATTGCTACAGGGACAGCATTTACTTCCACTTCCTTCTCTTGAATTTCCTCTAAAAATCTCCGACGATTGTCCATGTTAAAATCAGCGTCACCATCTAAACCCCTGCTTGAACTACATGCAAAGGTCTGCTCCAGTCTCCTACATGGCTCAACAAACTTGCTTTCGAATGGAAAATTCATCTCCATTAACGGCTTACGAAGTGTGCCCGACGGGCAAACGGTCCAACGACGTTGCTTACGCTGAGAAAATTATCAAAGTGAAAAACTATATAAATATATTTGCCCTGAAATGGTGCGCGTTTTGTGCTGTTATCGGCGAAATTTTAAAAAGCAAAATTCTGAATTTTATAGACATGCTCGTGCGCAGATATGCACGAGAGTGAATTCCGTTCAGAAATGTCGCAAAATTCTGTTATTTTAGTGACCGATGTTAGTATATCTTGATCATGATAAAAAGTTTTTTCAAACCATTAGTATTTCGTGTATTATACCATACGTAGTTTATGCTGCTATGTAATTGGTTCTCGTTCTCTGTATTTATGTAAAGTACTGCAACCTCCAACCATACTTAGTTAAATACTGCTATGTAATTGGCTCATGTTGTTGGTATTGAAAGTGCTGCAACTTTAGTACAATGGAGCCAGAGACTTGGCAGTACTTTGAGTTTTTTTTGTGTGCAGCGTCTGCGGCGTCTTTAACACAGAATCTTCAAACAGTTTTTCGTTGCGAACTCATAAACAAACGCTGCATGCATGTCGTGTTGATTTAAAGAAAAATTCTTGATGAATTATCGAGTATCTGACTGAATTTCCTATTGGTCGCATTAAAATTTGGCTTTTGTTGTAATTCCAGGCCACAACCCACCACCATTGATTCACCAATCATAAAATGCCAGCAGCCAATTAGCATGGTGTTTTTCAAACTTGTATTAAACGCATGGCCTCCGACAGTGACTGCTTAATGGAGATGTCTACTTGATAGAGATTTCATTGCTACAAAATTGCTATTCGAGATTAAAATTGGGTCTTTACGAAGTGTCCGCTCAATACAGGATGTCTGCTTAATACAGGTTTCACTGTATACAAGATTTTCAAAAATCGACTACCCATTTGGCATTTTTAATGCAAACCGCTTGATATAACTTACTTGTTTTACATCATTTTCGTTTGGTTTCGAAGTACACAGGATGTTTGTGACTTTAATAAGCTTGATTTTGGTCTCCTCCTTTAACGAAAATATAAAAAGCTGTCTTCGACCTTTACAAACACGTAAGAATAGCAGGCTGTCCAAAATTGCGGTAACGAATGTAGTTGCAGGTAATTGTAAACTGCAGACATGTTGTTACTGTATAGTTGTAGACAGTATATGTTTGAATCAGCATTTTTTTTTTCTTGAAAATTAGCTCATCATTATTTTATTCAATAAATTTTTGGTTATGTTTACTTTTCAACGGCATTAAGGTACTAAATTCCTTTACAGTTTATAAAACACCTTCACAAAACATTGCCAAACTTTTAAAATTGTTGATGGTTTAGATATGGTACGTCCACCATGCACTTTTAATAATGTAATCTACGTGGAAAATTTGTGTGACCCAAATTGGCTTTTTCCGCAACATTAAATTTTGAACAGGCTGAATGAAGGTCGCTTGATTGTTTCTACACACGTTACATCAACAGAATTATCTCGCAAAAACTTACAGCAATCTTTCTCTGTTCTTCAAGTTCTTGTTCAATCTAAAAAAGGGCAAACACAACTTAAAAAAAATGTCGCGAAATCTGTTATGAATATCCACAAAGAAACGCGTGAAGCTACAAACTGTGAACTGGTCACAACAGCAGAAACTTATTTTTAAAAGAGTATTTGTCAGTGATTATCATTCTACATGCCTCTAACGGACCAAAGAAAGACCTGTTGTACAAGTTTAAGGAGATTGTTAGCTGAAAATCGGAAATTCAACCTTCCAACCCGAACAGTATGAATCGAGAGATTGCGTTCGTCGGCCTTTGAAAAAAAAAACACGTGGTGAAAAATTTATCATTCCTATTTGTTGAAAATAGCAATTGACTGTCCTGCCCTTATGGTTATCACGTGCTTCAGAAGATATGCGTGTCAAAAAAAATTTCAATTGAGTGGCCTTCTGCATATTCCTTTTTTGTAAAGAAAAACATACTATTATAATATTGCAGCAACGAGAAAATTGCAGTCATATATACTAATCTGACTAACGAATGTTACTACTAACCTCCATCAGAAAAGCACGAAGATACAAAAGAGCAAAATCATGAAAAATATTTTCATAATCACGAAAAGTCGTTATTAAGCAAAATTTTACCATCCAGTTTTCT